TAACTATCCATACACACACTCACTACTTTTTCATTAGGGTGTCACTGATGTCGTGTCGCAACAGCAACTGATAACCCTTCTGGCCCGCTTTGGCCCCGTCAAGGACGTCGAGATCGTGCGCAGCAAAGCTTGTGCATTCCTAGAGTTCACCAGCCTTGAGGCTGCTAAAAAAGCGATCATCGCCTCGCTTCCCACCAACGCTGGTGGCGAGGGCGGATTGCGCTTCGATAGCCCTGAGGGCAACGTCCGGATCATCGTTGAGACCAGAAAGGAGCGTGGCGAGCGGCCTATCAGTCGGCCAAGGGGTGGTGCGCCTAATGGCGAGTCCAGGGGTTCATTCCGGGGCCGTGGCGGACCTCGGGGTCGTGGCGGCCCTCCGCCACCCAAACAGTAAGAATGCATGTGCATGGTGGTTCGGAGGGGTGAGGGGTGCTCATCTGCGTGGTATACTTGTTGTCCTAAGCTTATTTCATTTGCTTTTGTCCATGTAGACGTGCGTGGTGGACGTGATATAATGCGACAGTCACCTCGTATGTTTTGCTTGCTGTCGTGTTTTGGTAGTGATTCGGTTAATGAATTCAGGGGTCTCATTGTGTTGATCGCCGATGTGACGTCTTAGCTACTTCGTGCTTCTGCATACGTATATGAAAGCATGTTTAACTATGTAGTACTTAGTACTTGATTGTGGCATGCATCATGCATTCGTCCCTAGGCAACACTGTCATTTCAAAATTCTTGTTTGGTCAAGTTTGACTACTGCGTCTTGAGCACATCGTCAATGGCATCGACAGAGCCAACGCACGAAACAGTCATCAACCCTGAGCTCTTCAACCAAGAACACCAGAAAGACCAAGATACCTCAGATGCTCAAGCTCAAATAATCGCATCCCTCCGTTCCCAAGTCACCGATCTCTTCTCACAGGTCACCCAGCTCAACGGCAAGCTCGTCAAGTCCTACGACCGCGTCTCCGACCTCGAAGATCAGCTACACGATTGTGAGAGCTCTCTGCGAAATGCGAGTATCACTGTCTCATCGCTCGAGCTTGAGCGCACCCACCATCTCGCTGCGCTCGATACAGGGCTGCTCGTCGAGAAAGAGCATGTCACTGCTGAGCTGAACAGGCTTATGGAACGTGCAACGGAAGAAGCTGCGCAGCGTGGGCAAGCAGAGACAGCCAGGAGTGATATTGAGAAAGAACTCGATGATCTTAGTGCATCGCTGTTTCACCAGGCGAACACGATGGTCGCAGAAGCACGATTGGCGCGGGCTAAGAGCGAACGCAAGGTGCGCGAGGCGGAGGAGGCGCTAAAGGGAGCTGAGGAAGCTGTCAAAGTGATGCAGACTCAAATGCAGACTATGCAGGCTGACAAAGAGGGTGCTGAGCGTCAGGCGGAGGAGGCGCGACTCAGTATGGGAAAGGGCAAGTGGGTCGAGCGGGATGCGCATCTGGCTCAGCAGTATCCAGGAGATGTACGGAAAATGCGTTTGATGACCGTGCATGTCCCCTATGCAGAGTTCATTGCGTTTGTTACGCACCTTCGCGGACTAAGGATTTCACAGGTTACTTCGCCTGTTATCTCCACACTTCTGGGTCTACCCTTCCTCGCACGGTTGCTCACGGAGGATTCGTAAGTGGCTTACGCGTCTTGTTCTCCGATCCATCTGTTTATCGTGATCTAGAGAACCGACCGTTCGGCTTGACCTGGCCCCTTCATTAAACTGGCTCTCCCGACGGAACGTTCTAACAGCGATCCACACAGGGATGCTCATTGTCGAGCCAGTGCCATTCTCATCACTTGTGCAGGAGCTGTATCCCCACTCCCAAATGAACACACCCGTTTCCATTTCATGCGCTCTTTGCGGGACGGCAATAGTGCGCGCCCAATCGCACGAAACACCCCCAAGCCACCCACTCGCGTCCCTTGCGCGCAGCCGCAACAATGTCCGCCTCACGAATGGCAACCTTTGGTTCAAGAATTCACTTTTTAACTCCTCATCAAGTCACGTGGAACATGACGCAGATATCGAGCAGCCTGAGCAAGTGTACGTATTCCGTCAGGCACCTGCCACCCCTGCCCCAGCTATCGCGCCTGCCTCTCTACCACTGCACACTTCTTCGTCTTCCACCTCGACGCTTTCCGTATCCAAGCCACCAGCACACCCCACGGGGGCAACCCGCACAAGCTCTACTCAAATGCAACAGCCCTATCCGCTATGCACATCTAATTACTGTCTCCTGCGCCTCCGGAGTACGTGTTCCCTGTGGGCTTTTGTCCGCACATGCATCGTGGAGCGTATATGGGAGGAGGAGCCTGTTATACTCAATAAGAAGCCCGTGATTTCGGATGGCAATGGGACAGAGAATACCCAAGAGTCGAATAAAAGGAACTCTTCGCCGGCTGCGAGTGCATTTACGCTCCCTGCGGGTGAGAAGCCGCCTGTGCCTCCTCGGCGCAGGCGGCTTTGGGAAATGGCGAGTGCATTTGGGGAGAGAGCTGCTGGCTGGACTGAAAATAAGGACAAGGAGAAAGATAAGGACAAGGACAAGGACAAGGAAAAAGACAAGGACAAGGACGAGGACAAGGACGAGCAAACGGTTAAGAAAATTGCGAGGAAACTTCCGCCACCACCACCTACCCACCCTTCCGTTCCCCATCTACCGGTCCAAGCACCCCCTCCCCTCCCCAAAAGGAGCGAAGGGCGTGGCCATTCGATCGACACTCGCCCTGCCGTTTCAAATGATACTGACAAAAAAGCCGGTTCCGAAGCTGGGACATCTCAAGAATCGTTCACCACCCCCGTTGATGAGATGTCCTCCTCTCGCCCGTTTTCCGTAGATATGTCTCCTCCACAAAGAATAACACAGCCCGAAGCCCCGGCTTCACAGCCAGAACGCCCTCCCTCCCCACACACCATTCCCCTGCCAGAGACACCCACGTCACCTGCGTTCCGTGCTACATCGCCACCTCCGCACCCACGTTCTCGTGTGGCCTCTCCAGCTCCCTTACCTTCACGCATCTCTTCGCCGATACCTCATCGTGTCAGTACACCTATTGCTCCGAGTCGATCGAGAGCCGGCTCACCAGCTCCCCCACGCACGGGCTCTCCATTTACGTCTTCCAGGGCTGCTTCGCCTGTACCAAATGGTGCTCCACCCGTCCCCAAGCGCGCTCCTGCACGAAGGGCAGTTCCCGTGCCCCCCGCTGCTTCACAGACCGAAGCAAAGGAAGGAATTCCGATGCCTTCGACTGAAGTTAGTAAAGATGAGGCCCCATCGAAAGTTGATACGCCTGTCACCGAGAAGGAAGAAGAACACAAACCATCCTTTCCTGAACGGAAAGTTGTGATGGGCGAGGACGCTGTAGAGCCCTCGACGACCAAGCATAACATCGCCGAAACCCCCAACCCCTTACCTGATGCGAATATGAACATAGATCCGTTCCCCGAGAAGCGAGCATCCGTGGATGTTTCTCCCCACACCGTACAAGCCACTGTTGTCGACCCATCCTCCGAAGCTAGCCAAACCAGGCGTGCATCCCAAGATTCCAGCACACACGGTAAATCTATTGACACAAGTAGTACAAAACGCTCTTCTACTATCGACGAGGAAGGTTACACCGGTGACGCGACATGGGAGGATCGTACGTGGAAAGAAATCGTACGTTTGAAAGAAGACATGTTTTGGGCGCGCGTTGGGGGCGTGCGGTAAAGCTTAGTAAGTATGATGGTGTGCTCGCTGCCACTCATTTCATGGTAGGATATATTTTGTATATATACCACATGTGCAGATATATGCATTGTTGTCTTGTTGTCGAATTTATACATCTCATCATGATCTGTCATGACGCTATTGTAGGAGATGTAGGAGATATTCCCAAGTACCTTCACACCTGATATAGATATCCCGTCCTTTACCAGAATATTCATATTCATGGTCCACCAGTCTATTGTGATGATGGCAATCACTCCAAAACCTAGTAGATGACCTTAAACCATCAAAACATAGCGTGTCCTGCCATCCACAGCACGCACACTTGTAATCTGTATGCACACACTATGCAGACTAATAAGATAATTGAAGGTCAGCGGGAACATCGATGGAGGATTCACTGGCTGCAGATTTCACTCTAAATCATTTTTATGGAGTGATAACACACAACTTGATTGTACACATCCGAGTCTGTGGTCGGAATACTTCGGCCATGTTCTGCAATTCCACAGCCATCCTACTTCTCAGTCTTTCAGCGGATGTTTTTGAGACTGAGAAAATTGTGCTGAACGGGATGAAAATCATCTAAAAAGATATGAAAGTGAGTGAATGCTGGGAGCGGGCCTATTGGTTAAGATCGGCAAGTGCGAAGGAGTCTTCTGCTACTGACGTGACTTGGAAGATCGTATGCGTTCGAAGGAAGACATATTGTGCGCGTGCGGTATTAGAACCTCCTCGTGGAATCTTGTTCTTAAGCGATTTGGCAGTCAATTAAAAGGATAATCTCGGCAGGGAGCACTATAAGAAGAACGAAGAACTAGACAGAATGACAATAGGCTCGAGACCAATCAAGCCAGTGGCAGCCTTGACATCTCAGACAGAGCATGTAGTAGAATCTTAGAATAGTCACGAACCTGGTCTATTCGATTTTATCGCCTCGAAACCTAGGTGACCTTGAAACCATCAAGATATATGGCACGTCCGCAGCGGCACCCATGGTTATCAAGACATTGCCGCGTGTGCTCGCATCCGCAGCACGCATCACGAAGAGCTCTAATTCATTTTGGCGAAAAAGCCAGGATCTAGAGTCGATGGCGTTGTAGCCATTGGTATCAGAGCCAGACTGCTAGGAATGAGTCGCCTCAGGCAGCGTTGCTGCTATCGCTATAGCAAAGGGTGTCGTAAGTAGTTGACAACGAAGTCGGAACTTGGTTGTCTTGGCGGCAATCATGGGATGCAGTGGAACATACTTTTCCAGGGACTTATTGTTATTTCATTCTGCCAATTGTTATTATTTCCTATTATATATACTCACAGCTAAACTTGGACGCCGCTTCTACGTACAACAACGCACGCAAGATTATACTAGTACTACTTTGTGCCTTGCTTATAGTTTTCTTGTCCTCCACGTTCCCTCCTTCTCCCATTTATCTCTAGATGCCTGAAAACCCTCAGCAGGCTCCAGCTGTCGCTGCAGCACCCTCAAAATCAAAACACGGTGCTACATCCCAAGCTCCACCCGCACCGAGGAAAGTTAGATTCAACGTTGGTATGTCTTCATCCTTGCTATTCATTCATTCAATTTAACAAAGTCTTTCTCTCAATAGGTACTCAGTATCAGGTTCTCGATGTCGTAGGCGAGGGCGCATATGGTATCGTCTGTTCAGCTGTTCACCGGCCCAGTGGCCGCAAGGTTGCCATCAAGAAGATCGCACCCTTTGATCATTCCATGTTCTGCTTGCGGACACTCCGAGAACTAAAACTCCTCAAATTTCTCAGTGAAGCTGGTGTAAGCGAGAATGTGAGCGTGTCTGCTGGCCATTCGTTGTATTTACGTGCTCAGTCATAACTTTAAAGATCATTTCAATTTTGGACATTATCAAGCCTCCTTCTCTAGACGCTTTCAAAGAAGTTTATCGTGCGTAAAAATACGTTATTCAACCCACATGTCATTCAAACTTTCACACAGTGATCCAGGAGCTGATGGAAACAGACATGCACCGTGTTATCCGAACCCAAGACCTCTCAGATGACCACGCTCAATATTTCATTTATCAGACCCTGCGCGCACTCAAGGCCCTACATTCTGCTGATGTCATCCACCGTGATCTCAAACCTTCAAATCTCCTCCTTAATGCAAACTGTGATCTCAAGGTCTGCGACTTTGGGCTGGCACGATCAGTAAAGACCGCCGAACCATCAGGCACCGAAACCGGGTTTATGACCGAATATGTCGCTACACGGTGGTACCGAGCCCCTGAGATCATGCTGACGTTCAAGCAATATACTAAAGCTATTGACGTCTGGTCTGTTGGATGCATCTTGGCTGAGATGCTCTCCGGAAAACCTTTGTTCCCCGGCAGAGACTACCACCATCAGCTCACCTTGATCTTGGATGTTCTTGGCACACCAACGCTGGACGAGTTTTACGCCATTACCACACGCAGATCACGAGATTATATTCGAGCTCTTCCTTTCCGCAAACGCCGGCCATTTGCGCAAATCTTCCCCAACGCCAATCCTTTGGCTGTAGACTTCTTGACAAAGACTCTCGTAAGTCACGATCTTCTCATCTATTTGAGTGGTAGCTCAAACCTTTCTCTTAGACATTCGATCCTAAGAAACGCATAACAGTCGAAGAGGCTTTGGCTCACCCATACCTCGAAGCATATGTATGTGTACTTCTTACTCCTCGAACGCACAAGCTTACCTGTGATTCAGCACGATCCCGATGACGAACCAGTCGCACCACCGCTCGACCCCGAGTTCTTTGAATTCGACCGTAAGTACTCAGGTTTGATAAGCGCGCATGCATATTTACCATATTCGGCAGTACACAAGGACGATATCAGCCGCGAACAGCTCAAAGAACTCCTCTACGAAGAGATCATATCCTTCTGTCCCGCCCCAATCACCTAAACACACCATCGCTGTCCATAAATCAGAGGATTCATATGTAATACTGTGCCGAGCGTCAAATTGAATTAGGGGATAGAAATATGTACGAAATATGTTCTTTGGTGCCTTCTAACTGGTAGTCGTGCTGCTTTGCTATGGACAGTACTCATTCAATGTTTTTGTGTATCTCTTCGCAATCAGCAGCTCATCGCACGGATCTTGTAATTATTACACGTTTTTGTCGCCGCGTCACCCAATGTTCAATCTATGCAATTTGTTTGGATGACCAGTGCCTATAGACATTGTCACTGTGTGATAGTAACCACTGGACGGAACTTGGGGGCCTGTATGAGTATGTAGAATAGTTGAACAGATCCGCAGTGTACTGCATGTCAGCGGCATCACGGGGTGTTTAGTTGAGAGGTAACCAGGTTCCGGAAAGCAAAACACAGACTTCTGGACCTGAATGATGATTAGTTAGAAGGTCAAACTTGTCCTCGAGCAGAGTCGATGTCACGGACATTCCAATACACACGTACGTTATCGCCGAGCAACGAATGACTTTGCTGAAGAATCTAGAGTAGACAATCAAATATGGCTGCAAAAGCGAAAACAAGATTATTGGAGTGCGGGAGCGTGACACAGAGGGTAATTCCCACAACATTAAGTACAGCGTAGACGAAAGAGAATGCATATAAACAACTGGTAAAACCGTACCAGATTAAAGCAATGCGACATAAAACTACACGCCAATATGTATGAAAACCATCCTCTGCTCGAGTGGCACTTTCGTCTTCACCGAGCATGTAGCACGGTTCAGTGCCCAGGCCGCCTTCGTGCAGTCCATCGCACCATCCTTGAACATATTCTCATAGAAAGCTTCGACGACGTGTTTTGTGACAGCGTCGTCCACCACCCACAGCGTGCCAATGACGCTCTTGAATCCAGAAAACTGCAGTCCAGCTGCGAGGTGGATCACTTCGTCAGGTGTCTCCTCGTCGCCAACGGCGGTATGACACGCCGACAAGAATGCGAACTCTGCTTGCGGGGTGTCGTTCTCCATGATATCGAGCAGCGTCAGAGGTTCGTCTCTCATGGCGAAACGTGAATAGTAAGGCTGTTCGCGGTCCTGTTTCCCATGACAGGCGAGGTGCACCCAGGTGTTGCGTCGCAAAGCGTCGAGTGCACCTGCTCGCGTGGCGTCATCGCCAGAGAGAGTGGTAGTTTTGGCCGTCGTAGGGACGAGCTTGCAGACGAGCTCGAGCTCGCTGTCGATAGTCAAGAGCGCCCCGCCTTGCCCCGCACCCGGTACACTTTGTCCGATTGCAGCAAAGGACGGAGTAGTTACACGTGTCTTCATCGTCTGTCTAGATCTGATCAGAGCTGAAAGTGTCGGCGTATAAGAACAGATATAAACGTCCTCCAGGCATAGTTCCCTCCCACGTCCGTCCGCCTTCGTTCGAAAGGGGTGAGCTGCGTGGAGAGAAATAGAAGTGAAGGTTGCAGTTGGACATAGCCAGATTCGAGACCGGCTCGTCACTCTGAGATCCCGCTGGAGGACGATGAGGATGGGAAGCATGATCTCGTCCCATACTGTCCTCAGGAGGACTTGCAATTCCTTCCTCGTCTCCTCTAGTCGCATAAAAGATGCAAGTCGTATCTCCCTGGCAAAGTCGCTCTTGAGCCTCTCCAGATGTGCGAGAGTGATGCGCGGGAAGAGAACGTGGTGTGGTTCTCCCGAGGTTGGGACAATGATGGCGCTGCACGAGTATTGACTCGCAACAAGAATGATGACTGGTCCATGACGTGCTGCCGCTTGCAATTCTGTATACGACGGGGGGAGCAGGAATCGCGAGAAACCTGGGATATTGCGAATTTCAGCTACTGCAGCTCCCCACTTCTCCTGAAGTCTCCTGTACTGAGTTGCTGCTAGATCAGCAGCAACTCGGTCAGCGCTTCCGGCAGAACCCTGAGCATCAGAAAGACTATTGCTGAGCTCCAAGAACTTGTGAGCAAAGTTGGAATTTGTGACCTCGAGGTCTTCCAACGGAGTCCGGAGTCGAGAGGCCAGCGACCACTGCTGGCCACGACCCTGCTCCAGGAGTTCGACTGCTTGTTGCAGATCCTCGCGACGTATGGAACATGAGGCTGCATCTACTGGCAGTGACTGTGCACCGCGAAAAGCGGTTGCAGCCTCACGCCGTGAGATGATCGTTGATCGTGTCATCACGTGATTGTCGTAAAGCTCCAAGCAGATTCGGTATGCTTCGAGAGCAGAGTCGTGTCGATAAACCTCAGCTTGGTGAGCCCAGTCTATAGCCTCCCTGATGCGGTGCGGAAATCCTTGGGTGGGGTGACGTGATGCAAGTCTGAAGTTCTCCACAGCGAGCGACAAATCGGCAAGGTCGTATTGCACTCGGTAACGAGACAGATAGGCTTCCTGCAACACCATGTAGCTGAAATATCTATCCGGGTGCAGTGAAGACAAGGTCTCCAACGACTCCTGGCACAGTCGAATGGCCTCCTCGACATCTCCATTCCTCTGAGTTTGCGTGAAACGATAACGGAGCGCCGAGCTCAAATTGTCAAGAGTTGTATGGCGACTGGGATGTCCATGCTGCTGTAACTGAAGTGATTCCCGGTACAGGTCGATGGCCTCGTCGAGATCCTCGCTGGCATCTAATTTGGCATATCTGTCGTGGAGCGCGAGAGCAAGGTTGTGGAGCGTGGTCTCACGACATGGATTCCCAGGCGGGCACGACGTCAGTGCCTCGCGATGGAGGTTGATGGCTCTCATGATGTCGTTAACATCACTGTGTTGATTGAAACGGGTGCGGAGGGCAAGTCCTAGGTTGTCCAATGAGAAATTACGATATGTATTCCCAACGGGGCACAGGCGCAGCCCTTCTTCGTACAAAGAGATGGCCTCGTTGAGGTCATGAGAGTTGCCTTGATGATTGAAGCGGTAACCGAGTGACAAAGCCAAGTTATTCAGGTACGTATAGTGTCCAGGATGTCCCTGGGGACACACAGAAACAGCTCCACGACGAAGCTGTATACACTCGTCTAGGTCATCAATGCTGCCGCGTTCTTGGAAGCGTCCTTCTACTGCCTGTGCAAGCTCTTGGAGGGCTCTTGGACGGTGTTCGCTGCTCAGAGTACAGAGGTCGAGCACGACTTGTCGAAAGTGGATGCCTTCATCAGATGCGTCGGTTGGAAGATTGTTGCATGCACGAATCACATAATCGATGCCATTTGCCCCTGCCGCAATGCTATGAAAGAAAGTGCCCTCTGGACAGAGGGGTAATAACTTGCAGGACAGTTGCGCAGATTCCTGGATGTAAACGGTGGTGCCCTCCTCGCTGTAGCACCAAATCAAAGCTTGAAGGAGGTGATGGATGGATAATGGATGGTCGGGGTGGCCGTGCGGACGCAATGCAAGGGCGAAATAAAGAAGTGATAGAGTCTATGTCTTGAGAGTCGTTTTGAATGTAGCCCTGAAGGCGGGCCCACGCAAGGTTAGTGAAAGCTGCTGCACGGTCAAGATGGCCGACCGGACATTGGTCCAGGACTGACTGAAAATGTTGTACGGCATCGTTCAGGTGAGAGACCGTGTTGCTTATGATGTGTGTGGCAAATCGTTCGTGGCCCGCATCTGTGTTCCGAGCAATCTCACATTCACCGACGGACTGCAGGAGGTGTCCTGTCAACACAAGGCCAAACCAGTCGAGGTTGATAGCATTCACGTTAAGCAGTGCGGTGTCCGGAATGTCGCTATCAAGTAGAACAGTGGCCTTCAGCGTGAGGGAAGGGTGAACACTAAGAACGGACGGGAAGGAAATATCTACGAGATATGAGTATGTGTGCATGAGTGAGAAGGTCACTCACTGAAAGGCTCACTTCGATTATCGAGCAGCGCATCCCATGATGTTTCAAGTTTTCCAACGACTTCTCCATTGCTCAGCATCCGATCGAGCTCGAAGGAGGTCCTGATCTCCACCGATAATGCAAGTGACGTATCTAATGATCTAGAGACCAAAGATCAGTCCTCGACTTGTGTTTGAAAGTCTCGATGAACTTGTACAAGGTCACAGTATCGGCCCACGCTGTAGATTCGTCGGATAATAAGACTCCGATGGCTGAATTCCAGCGCCTGCTCGAGTCGAGATCGATGGCCTGCGGGAATGCGCTGGGAGGGAACTTTAAGATTTCTCCCGCTGATGACTGTAGACAATGTGAGGATCACGAAACAGAGACGGAGGTGGTATGAAGCGAATCACGTTCAAGTTTGATATACCGGCCTTCTAAGGTACCGGGCATGATAGTGCGATGAAGCAAAACGACAAGGATCGAGAATGGCCCGGGGCTGCGTGGTGGACAATGAGTGGTGAAAGACGGGAGGGGAGTGTGGATGAGATTCAGGTAAGACTCAGAGTCAGATGGGGGTTCAAACGGTTCAGGTCATGCTGCATGTCGATGGCAAAGCGGCATAATAGAAGAACATGCTGCAATAGTTCCAACCTTGCATATGATGACGTACTAGAGCATCTTCTCATGCCGAAGATTGCCTATCGCAGAGGGTGACAATATAAAGACTTTGAAAAATGTTGTGGGAGTCGTTGACGGTTGGGTCGCTACCGCGCGTCGAAGGCCCTCCTCAAGCTGATCATCGTTCAATGCGAATGAAAAAGGTAAAAAGTGAAGGCGATACCAGGGCTCGAACCTGGGTTTCGGGAAATCAGCCCTTGTCAGAATCCCGAGTGATAACCACTACACTATATCGCCTTGGATGAGTGTCGTGACTCTACGCAATACGTACCCATTGGCATAAGTAAGGCTTCTTCGGATCGTTGTACTTGTACTTGTGACCTCTACGTTGTACTATCACTACTCGAGTTTGAAATTTAAACGACTGGACAGTTCGATGCACGTCGCGTTCAAACTCGCATGACAGCATATCCGCAGGAGCCGGAAGGACCCCGAAGCTGGTCGGTGGTGTAGCAGCCAGTGCGCCCATGCCTCGCCGACAAAGATTACCCTGTGGGGATAGTGCCCAGGAATAGTTCTTTGATGTGGGGGCCAGAGCCCAGCGGCAAGTTATGTAAATTTATTCCGATTTCGCGTGAGATTTCTTCTCATCAGCTGGCATCATTGCAGCGCCTCCATTTTGTTTGAATTACCGTGGTACAGAAACAGCTAGCAGCCGATGACATGGCAGTCCACCTGACTTGTGCATTTCATTATAAACGTTCAAAATCTTCGGATCTAATGTGCCTCTTGTTCTCTTGCTTGTGCGAGCGCTCGGTCAGCATCTTTAATATCGCGAAGTAGCTCGCTACGTACTTCGCTCACGTGCGCGAGTCACCTCGGTCTACTATGTTTGACGAAGAAAAACACCCGTCTTCCGATGAGAGGGAAACCAGAACAAGTGACGCTGGCGGCAATAATCCCATCACTACGTCCGATGAAGAGAAGAGGCTCGTGCGCAAGCTTGACCGTAGGATTCTGCCCATAACATGCCTGCTCTATCTCTTTGCTTGTGGGTGAAGTTTCACCATGAGAGCCGGCTGACATGTTGTACTGACGGTGAATCAGATCTTGATCGCACGAATCTTGGAAATGCACGCCTCCAGGGACTGACTGAGGAGAACCTTGGTGGCGACCCTACTGGTACACTGTATAATTGGGTCAACTCGGCATTTTTCTTTTCGTATGTGAGTAATACAGCTATAGTTTCTCGCCCTAGTGTTTATTTATTACCTCCCAGATTATCTTTCAAGTGCCTGCAACGATAACCTCAAAGTTGTTTCCGCCATCCTACTGGATAGCGTGCGCGGCTGTTGGATGGGGTATATGTTCCACGTTAATGGCGAGTCATACTGCTGCTCATCTTCATGTGCACATTCTGTCTCTTCTTAAAATCATTCCTTAGCTACTAGGAACGTCTTGTTCATGAAAAATTCCTCCTGTGACCTATCTATCAACACTAGTAATTTACCAGCGCGTCAGAGCGGCCAATTTCTGCCGTAAATTCAGTGACGTGTGCTGATGACTTGATGATGTTTGATTTGTTTTACCTGCAGATCAAATAGACATTTCCGACTACCCTGTTTGAATACCTACCTTTCACATTCAACCATTTTGCAGCGTCTTTATCTTCTTTATTGCCAATTTTGAGCCCGAACTATTGCTCATGATGCATGCTATTTCTTCTGCAGGCAACGACATTCAACTTTGGAAGTCTCATAGCCGCCCGCGTTTGTCTTGGCATATTTGAAGCTGGCTTTGGCCCTGCAATTCCACTTTATTTTTGTAAGTCATGCATCACTCAATAAACCCGTGGAGAAACAGGACTCTGAACACAACCATACAAGCGTTCTTCTACACTCGCACCGAAATGGGCCTGCGCATGGCATACTGGTTTGGTTTTGCGGCGGTTGCAGGTGCTTTCGGTGGGCTTATCGCGTTCGGTGTGCAGCAAGTGGGGTACGGACCGTATATCGTTGGCGTAGGAGGAGAGTGGGACTGGAAAGTCCTGTTTCTTATTGAGGTTAGTACCAGTGTTCTATGTTTGGTGAAGGGACGAGTGGTATTTTAAGATGTTGATCCGCTGGCATTTATCTGGCTGGGTGTCATGGTGTTTTACATTCTGGGGTCTTGTCATTTTCGGCTGATGTTTCAAGTCTCCCTGGCCTTTGAGATGAGGAAGAGGATTGCTATACCAATACTGTCTGCCTGGACCATACCGCGCAATGTTTGCTGTGCTAGCCTCTCTTGCATCGCACTTTCCCCCTAGGAGGCAGGCATGCTAGTGGTACTATCTAGCGCTTTTCCAGAACGCTATAAAACACCTGTCAGGGTTATTTCCGTTTTGTGATGTGCTTTGTCCCTTGTAGACTTATTGGCTAACAATTCGGTTGTTCCCAGGGAATCCCGGCTCTTCTTCTTGGTGTTCTGACTTTCTTCGCGCTCCCTGACCGACCAGAGAATACTAGATACTTGAATGCGAGAGAAAGAGAAATTGCAATGGAGCGCATGAACAGGGGCACGAGCGCGGATATTGGTGCTGTGATCAACAAAGGCAAGCCAATTCCCCGTCCTCACACTACGCAGCGAGGGCTCATAGAATTGTCCTACCCTAGAACACATCATGATAGCTCTTCTAGATTGGCGTATATACACCGGTGGAATGATTTACTTTGGTGTGAACTGCGCTCTGGCAAGCATTTCGGCATTTTTGCCAACGATCATCACGACTTTTGGATACAGTGTGTATTACCTTGTGGTCTGATGAAGGTATTCTTTGTTGACATTTTCTTTCCAGCCAACGCGCTCGCCCAGTTACTCACAGTACCGCCATATGCAGTGGCTGCCATCGTCCTCTGTATGACATCCTACACATCCGATCGCATGCAGAACCGTGGCTTAGCGGTTGCAGGTGCATGTGCTGTCGGTACTATTGGTACGTGGCACATAGTTTGATTTATGTTCAAAGTATCCCTCATGTGTCATTTCAGGCTACCTTCTTTTGCTTACAGTCCCCAACAATGTCCACGTGCGATACTTCGCCGTGTTCTGCATCACGAGCGGGACATATACTGCCATTGGCTTAATCATTGCATGGTGTACGCTCTTTATCACTCAATCACGCTTCTCCTTACAACAGCTCATGTTTTCAACAGTTGCACACAATCTCGGCTCTGAGACCAAGAAAGCGACGGGCATCCCGATGTTCATGGCGATTGGGCAATGCGGGAGTATCCTCGGCTCGCACATATACCCTTCGACGGACGGCCCGAGGTACATGTGCGTCCCACCCTTCTCCCCTCGCCCTGTGTATGCATGTGTTAATTGATTGTCGCTGGTGCAGCTCCGGCTTCGCTATATCATGCGGCCTCGAGGCGTTTGCTACTGTTTGCGCGCTAGTGCTGTGGGTGTCATACATGTATGATAATGCGAAACGCGATCGCGAGTATGGGCGTCCAGAACCAGGTGCTAATGTGGATACAAGCAAATTGGCGGATAAGGTGAACACTATCCGTCTCTGAATAAATCTCCGCTGACACCTTCTGCAGGCGCCTATGTTCAGGTACATAGCTTAGTGAGGAGGGACGTACGAATTGGTGACAATTGCAAATATGTATCTATACATCACTCTTCCCTATGACAACCTAGTTGAATTATGCACTTGGAAGGGCATCAGTAAAATATTATTATATTACTGAATGTAATGGCGCTCGGCCGCGCTAGTCCCCGACATTCTACTGTAAAATACAAATACTTCAAGATGATGAGGCCATGATGTTGAGGGTAGAAAGGGGGAAAAGGAGCACATGTTAGATGAATCGACTCAATGGAAACATGACCTAGGCCAGCCCAAAATTTTATTACTATGCATTCAAAAGCGCCCGGACGGGCAGTCCAAGCTCCCGACAAATACGCTCCATGTGTTCTCGCTCCCTATTAGTAGCATTATCACCAAACTCAGCATCCGTTTCTTCCAAGGTCTGTATAACATTTGTCAGTTATGTTCGACAAGATATGTGCGCGTAAAAAACATACCCGACCCTTGGTCTCTGGGAAGAAGAATACTGTAAAGCGGGTTGAGCCTATCATTTAACACGATTGTGGGGTTTGACGTACGAACTGAGAGTAACGCGGCAAGAGAAAATCCGGCAAAGATAAAGTACGCCATCCCCCCCACATCCAACATTATTGGCGTAACGAGCCCAACGACACTAAAGCACATCAATACCAAAAAGACAGCGGGTGATCAAATCGCGCACAAGTTCGATAACCACGTGGTGGATGTAGTAATGGAGATGCCAGTGGACCGGAGGTGCAACGGGAAGATCTCGCTGGGAATTACTGGCGAATGCATTAAATTCTTGAAGAAGGTGAAACGAGCCACTCACCCCATCCAATCGGGGCCCACGAGTAAGAGAAATTGACATCGTAGATAAACACGAAGACTGTAAGATAGTTTAACATGTTCTGTAGGTAATTATATCATAGTGCACTTACCAATGGCGGTGCGAGCCGCTACTGCATGTGCTGGCCAGTCCTTGCCGTAAACGGTAACAAGAGAACCCACAATTGCCAGGCAAGTAAAACATCCAGCGGCACCAGAAATCAACAAAGGCCGCCTGCCCACACTATCAAGCAAAACAATAGCGGGTAAAGTAGCGAGCATCTTTGAATAATAATAATTTAGGAGTATATGTGACATTGTCCATACTGTGGACTCACGTTTACAATTCCATAAACACCAGTGGCAAACAGGGAGGTAGTGTTTGGGTCAAGGCCCAGTTGGCCGAAAACTGCAGATAAGAGTCAACCCCGAGGTCAATCATTCTAATCTTTCGTGAAGCTTACTCGTAGGCGCGTAATAAATGATAGCCTTCAGTAAAGTAAGCGACGTTAGTTCCAGAAGGATGTGCCACGACTTACGTTTATACCCTGGCAAACCACAAATCACCAAATGATAAGAAAGACTGATTTGAAAACCCACCATAAATTGTTGGAACATCATAGTAAGGCAACCAACAATGATACGCTTGGACTTTGGCCAGCTAGAAATCAATACCAAGTATTTATTGATTATCTGCCTGACTGGCCCCGCATTAGGATATGCCGCCTTCATGACCTCTCTTGCAAAACGAACTTCAGCCATGATCTCCAGGAATTCAATGCGAACCGAATGATTGTCAGCGGGCTTCCGGCGAAGACGCGACAGCTCCTCCAGAGCCTCCTCCTCGCGACCTTGCTCAACGAGCCAACGGGGCGAGTATGGCATGAAGAGCATGCCAATGCCAAGACACTGCGCTTCCGTGGGTATGAGTGGGAGGCAGAAGATAGCCAACGCACCAAAGCAGGGAATATTTGGAACGCAAGCGGAATTCTCCACGACGCTTGAGTTTGACCAGTGCAGCCGCCAGGAGGGACATCAGTGTAAGGATCGAACGTAGGTCTGCCATTCAAAAGCGCCCCGGTGTATGATATTTGAGGGGCACATCGAGTTCCCCCGATATGTGATGTGCCATATGCAAGCCAGTCTTCCGGAAGTGAGCGCATACAGATATATGAAAGTTGACTGCTACCCACAACTAACAAGAATCTACTTTTTGTGGTATCAAATTCATAAACTCAGTGCTGGATGTTTTCCTCACCCCAAATGTGATAGAGAGTTGTTGCAGAGAAACTAAAGATCCACGAATTTTGGCACTAGATATCTCAGCAAGATACATCGGGACGACGTGCGTCAGAGAACCGATTGCCAATCCGGCAACAACGCGACCGGCGAACAGATAAACTATAAAAAGAATCTTCAGCAAGGCTGATAAGTGTGAACGGGATAGAACTTACCGGGAGATGTAGCACCCGCTTGGAGTGAACTACCAAGAAGAAAGATCACAACATTGCATATTATGTCTACCTTTCTCCCGATCTGAGCCATAGTCGATCACAGTTTGTCCTATCTCGCCAAATGATATGTCTCACTTTGTCACAGACGGGGCCATTCACAATAGCTCCGAACCAGGCAGCTGAAATGTGAATCAGCTAACGGACGTTTGCAGCATGCCACATTGACTTACCGAGTAAAAGCGTGGAGACAAACCATCCCTAAAAGTTGTGTAACTCAGACAGGCACATTGAATATCTATTGGAATATTGCCCTTACCTTCAGTGTTGCATTCATGTAAATCGCCGGGAACTTCGCTCCAAAAGACTCAATGGCGAGCACGTTGCTCACGACTCCCTGATGCGCAGTTAGACGTCTACCTACCACTATAAGAAGACATTTCCTAACTCACCTGATCGTAGCCAAAGAGCTGTTAGATATACGTGACGAGGTTGAAGGCACGGCGTTACCGACGGTCGTCTATCTTGTAACAAATAACTCACGAATCCTCCAAGAGTCGAGAACAACGATATACCAAGTCTGCGCCACAAATGTATCCTATGATTGATATCCACATCATATCTCCAGACCGCTCACATGAATTTATTTTCAAAAAGGCCTCTGAATCCAACACGACCTTCCGATCCAGCGTTCCCGCCCTCTTGCTCAGGCTTTGATTCAATCGGATTTAGACGTGGCGATTGAGGCATGTTCTTCGTGACGTGGAGCCTGAATTATAAGGAGGAGGGAACTGGTATTCAGGATCAAGACATGCTGCGCCTTATAGCAGGATGGTTGACTCTCGGTTTCAACCTTTCGATCTGATCAGAAGGTGCTATGACCAACAAGGAAACTCCACCTACTTCACCACGTCCTCCACACTCGCACGTTCATCTTACTTCGGTCCGTAATGAGTGGGGGAGAAAGAAACTGCGAGAAGCTGCTCTGCGCAAGCCCGCGGGGTCTCGGAATCCACCGTTCTCGGACGTGCCAGAATCACTGCTGGATATTCTATCCCTCCCTGACATGAATAAGTCATACAACTTGTGGTATTGGGCAGCCATGCCATGCTTCATCGGCATAAATGGAGAAACTGGACGTATGGTAGAAATTGAGGCCTAGTAGGAGTGATAAACAATATCGGAATCGGCGATAGGCTTTACTAGTAGCCTTATCATACACGACGGCGCTAACTCGAAGTGCTAAATGGAGTCGTGTCACCACGTAGTGACAAGCTACTGGACTCGACTCATCACGCATGGGGAAATTCTTCTGAAGTTCTGACTATGATCGTGACTCAGAGCCGAGTCATAGCTATAGCCCAGGGAATGCAAAAATCGCCCGTAGTGGCACGAGAATGTTAGCAGCATATGTGAATCTGAATGTTATCATGAAGTTCGCGGGAAAAGCATGCCAACCTGGAAGCTTGACACGTGAGAGACTTTTGAAAAGCCGACGCGTCTCGTAATGCACGGTCACAGTTTCCAGTAGGAATGTATTATATTGGACTACGATATCATAGAACGAGGAAAATGATATAAAAAGTAGAAAGGAAATCGTATACGTAGAGATAGAGGATACTATAAAGAGAAAGAAATACTACAGGGAAGAAACAGCCACAACATGTACAGGGGAAATGAGAGATAGATAGAAAGACGGAGAGCAAGCAAATGGAACGATACGAGAAGAAATGGTATATAGAATAGAAAAAAATAGGATGCAACTCAGGAATGGAGGTAAATGAGAGGGGTATACAACTAACGGTGAAACCGTGGATGGGATATATCGGTGTGGGGAATACAGCGCTCAAGTATGCAGGATACCAAGAGACGCCAAACAAGCACGTAGGCTTCAAGGCTTGCTCCAGAGAAGGGCTATGGAACGTTCGAATCAAAGATACATCCAAAGGGAAAGTACAAAAACACGTACACTTGAAGGGAGGGACCGTCAGAGCATCGTCGTCAAGGAAGGACATCGAGTCCAACGAAGGCATCGTCTCGCACAAGTTATCCAGCGATGAAAGCTGCACAGCAGTATTCAAAGCTGTCATGGAAGGTGACGGGTGGAGAGGTTCTCGGTGACAATTGATGCTTCGTGCCTTATTCCGGTCAAGATCTGCGGGGAAACATTTCAATCACAACACTTCCAGAAAATGGTAAGAATATATACTCTTGAAGGGAGGGACAAGAAGAACGTCATTGTCGAGGAAGGACATCGAGTCCAACGAGGGCATCGTCCCGCACAATTCGTCCAGCGATAAAATCGGCACAGCGGCATCCCAAGCTTCCGTGGAGGACGGTGGGCGAAGAGGTTGACCTGAAACTTCGTGGCATTCATCAAGCCAGGACATCGAGTCCAAGGAAGGCAACGGGTCATTTAGATCGCCCAGCGAGTGACACTGCACAGCAGCATCCAGAGCTTCCAAAGACGATGACGATGACAGGGGTTGACTGGCAACACTATCCAATGCGGCGTCGAGCCAAGACATCGAATCTAGAGAAGGCAACGGATCACGTAGATCGCCCAACGAGTACAGTTGCACAGCAACATCCAGAACTTCCAAGGATGGCGATGACGACAGGGTCCGGGGTCGACCAGCAATACCATGTGATGCGTCATCGGGCCGGGACGTCGAGTCCGGGGCACACAATTTGGTAGCGGGAGTGACTGGAGACGAGGTTGGGGGCAACACCAGGTTGTTACCTAAAGAGTGGGTGGGTGAGGACGAAAGGAGTGGAGTAAGGAGAAGAGCACTGACTAAGTTCCCGCGCCCTGCCCTTGGCGGTACTGTTCTTCTTCTTCAGAGGTCTATGCACCTTTGCGTTGTGCTTGACAGCACTGCCGCTCTTCTTGAGAGAAGGAACTCTAGGCTCCTGCACCCTGCCCACGGTGGCACTGCCACGAGTCGCAGACTCTCGGTGGGGACGGTTATCACAAGATGCTATGCATGCCTTGTCTTTAGAATCGTCAACTGTAACAGCAAGAACTCCTTACCTTTGGACGGGGGATTCTTCAAGAGGACCCCTTTAGGTGCAGATGACACCCTCGTGCCAGGAGTGGGGATCTTCGAGCTCGACAGGACCCTAGAGACCGAAGACTTGACAGTAACCGGACGCCTGACGGAATCAACCGTCATAAGTGCCTTCGGGGTGGTGAACTTGATGGGGGCTCCAGCTGCCTTTGAGCCGACTGGTGCGGATGGCTCTGCAGGAGTATCTGTCAGTCAAATAAGACTTCACAACTGATGAATGAGAGGACATACGAATGTAGATTGATTCACGATCAATGAACCGAAGCGATCTAGCAGAGATTGAGATACCTGACCTTTGCTTCGGCGCAACACTCGTTGGTGTAGGAGGATGTTGAAACTCAGGAGGAACTCGCTGTGGAATGGCGCTAGCATCCACAAACGTAGCGCTTTGTACAGGTTCGGAGTCGCAAACGTCTTGAAGTGAAGGAGGCAGCTTAGCTTGAGATAATGCAAATTCCAGAGCCGAGATCCTCGTGTGGTATAGAGAAAGTGTCTTCGGGATATCCTTGCGAAGGTCGGCAACATCGTTCTCCGTTCGGATTTGGTCCTTGATTTGAGAGATGAGTTGGCCATGCAGGCGTTCGTGGAAGGCATCGAGTTCCTTGCGAAGGTCAATGACATCTCGCTCCGTTTTAATTTGGTCCTTAATTTGACCGGCGAGTTCATCATGCAGACGCCCGTGGAAAGCGTCAAGCTCCTCGTTGTCCCGCGAGACACGAGAAGTAAGCTTATTGAGAATCTTCTTGATATCTCTCGAGAATTCGCGTTCCTCGTGGAGTTGTTTGCCGAGGTCGTCAATTTGGCGTTGCTGATTAGCGATGAGGGCAGCGAATTCTCTAGCCTCGAGGGCTATTACCTGTTCATGGCAACGAGTCTGATCTTTGACGGAATCGACATCTTGCTTGACAAGCTCCATCGTGGCACAGAGATTCGTGATTTCGAGGTCGGTAGTCTGCTCGAGAGTCGCAAACGAGGAGGAGAGAACATCGACAACATCTGAGATTCGTAGGAATTGATGTACGAGGAAACCGATTTGACCGATAAGTATGATAAAAAGCTCGACGACACGACACGAGAATGAAGATGAGAAGGTATGTAACATGGTATCATCTTGATTTGTCGTTGTTGTATCGTCCGAGCTGGATGAATCGTCGAGGGCGTGGGGAGTATTGGAACCAGGAGAGGATTGTGCGAGAGCCGAAAAGGTGCATGCTGCTGGACTGGCCATACCAGAAGTAGCGTATCGTGCGTCCTGGATAGGTGCGAGAACGAAGACGAAAGGAATTGCCTTCGTATAGTCGATCATAATGACGGCGTGAAGTGGCTTGAGGTAAGACTGCGAGGGAATTGCACGGCGTCGAAAAAATGAGAGCGAGGATGGAGCGCAACACAGAAGAGGAGTTAAAGATGGAAGTGCTCGCCTGAGCCTCCTTTATACCCAAGCCTGCTGATGAGTGACTTGTTTCATATCGCAAAGATATACCAGTCCAACTACAGCACGTCAGAGGCCTTCGAAACCGAACCGAACGTCTACAAGCCTGAGACAGCTTACTATTGGATTTTTGGCAGTTCGATGTCGAACACTTGTTTCATACTGCTGTCCGAGAGTAGATTATCATGGCGAGTGTGCGATATTACAAAACAGCACAGAATTTTAGACTGTTGGTCTGCTTTGAAATTGCATTAATGCTGATATGTCTGATTTCTAGTGTCATTAGAATTCGGCTGCAGAGGAAAATAAAACCGTCAGGACTATACCAAATCGAGGGCTCAGTCTCTGGGCTGTGAGCCCCTCGGCCTAGTCCAACGTACTACTAGGTACTCCAAATGCAACGTTGAAATCAGCCTGGTAATGCAAATTCCCGAACAACAGATCTAACCTCTGATTTGGCTACTGCCTACAGTGGCAGATGGTTGGTTGGTTTTAATCGTGTAGCATCAGTAGCTGCCACAAGAGCGATCATATGGAATTTCAAGCAGCTTGACCGTTGCCAGCAGCTGCAGTAGTCACCAAGACCGTCACTTGCTAGTAAAAGTACGTTCTTACTAGCTGACTAAGCGCCCGCGCCGGAGTTCGGGTACGTGGGAGGTCCTTTCCAAACTCGTATGTAAACATTCAATATTCAAATATTCGCTCCTCGCTCTTGAGTTAATTATCAACCAAGCTCTGGTCAAGTCATGGCCGACGCAGGTAAGTTTCCTTTCACCAAGTGCTTTTACCGAGATCCTGCTCACCGCCTTGAATAACAGGATTTTTCAAAGGCACTTCTGCAGACCAGGACCGCCGCTTCTCTGACAAAGAGTTGAAGTTGTTAAAGTCTATGAAATTTCCATCAGAGTTTGATAAAAAGGTGCGCTACCCAAGTCTGGTGCTCTAAATTTAATACCTATCTCGTTTCTCAGGTGGACCTCAAAAAAGTAAATCTCAACGTCATACGCCCATGGATCGCCAAAAAAGTCACAGAACTCGTTGGCTTCGAAGATGAAGTGGTCGTCGAATATGCCATGGGTCTCCTCGACGACCCGAATCATACCGTAAGCCCTTTTACATGTCAAAGACTTTTCCGTCTCCATTGTATTTTCCTTTAGACTCCAGACCCAAAGAAAATGCAGATAAACCTGACAGGTTTCCTCACGGCATCGACACCCTCATTCATGACTGCTCTCTGGTCTTTACTGCTGGAGGCTCAGGAGCATCCCGCAGGCGTGCCACAGACGTTTGTGGAGGAGAAAAAAGAGGAAATGCGCAAAGCCCGCGAGGGTGACGTGCGTGCCATAGGTGAGAGAGACAGGAGGGTCCGTCTCGACGAGATAAGAGACCAGGAAAGAGGTGAACGTACAGGCCGCGGGCGCGGAAGGGGTAGAGGCAGAGGCAGAGGCGGATTTGAAGGTGGTGGCCGAGGCAGAGATAACGGTTGGGGTGGACGTGGTGGCGGCGTAAGTCCATTCAGTGTTTGTTTGAGCCTTCAAGACTTATACCATATAGCGTCCTGGTCGCAGGATATCTCGTAGTCCACCGCCCCATCGCAGGCGCTCCCCATCTCCGAACTCTCCATTTGACGCAAGGAGTTCCCGATCCCCGCCTCCTTCCCTCAGACGTTCGCGCTCTCCGAGGCGTTCCAGATCTCGCAGTCCTGTGTACCGCCGAAGCTCCCCTCCGCCCCGTAGATCCCGGACGCGCTCACCTCCTCCTCGTCGCCGACGCTCCTTGACTCCTTCTCCTCGCCGCAGACGTTCGCCATCGGTTGAATCTCGATCTTTGTCGCCTCCGCCACCAAGGAGACGGAGACGGTCTCCCAGTTACTCGCGCTCGCCTCCACGGAGATTCGGGCGAGAAAGAAATAGCAGAAGTCCCCCGCTTCAGCGTCGTAAGCTATCGCGTTCGCCCTCTCTCGCTTCGAGCCAGTCACGGTCTGCGACGAGATACGCCCGTCGCAGGAGTCCAAGTCCTCGTAAGCGGGTCAGCACCTCTCGTTCGCCTGTAAGACGACGGGTTACTCGCGATGAAGCCGGTGATGGCGGAAAAGGAAAGCGCCCGGCGAGGCGTAGTCCTTCGTCCTCGCGTATGGATGTTGATAGACTGAGAATCACTGACGAGCCCCTTCCGCAAAATGCCAGAGGTGAGCTGAAAATCAAGGGTCAAGCTAGGCGAAATAAGTGGGATAATGCAGACAGGGATGACGTATGCTTACCTTCTTGATGACTTGTGCTCAGCCAAAGTTGATGATGACTTTTAGGGAGGTCTAGACCAGCATGATCTAGAAAAGCGAGAGAAAGAACTGAAGGAGAGAGCGTTGAGAAATAAGGTTGTCAGGACTCGTAAAGGGAGCAGCGGTGCTGGCGGTTCGGGATAGAAGAACCCATCCGTCATCTCGACCCAGCGCCACATTGCGAGCAAGCACTACATCGTATCGTTTTTCTTTCTGTTGTGTTCGACTTCCAATGTACTCAATTCCTTATGCATCTAGTGTTCCAAGTTTCATTGTGCACCCCAGCTTGTCCGTATTTTCTGTTAAAATATACTTCGTTGCCGGTGTGAAGCCCGCCCTTTTTCTCTCAACTTTGCTGTGTATCCCTTCTAACTTTTTGTTTTTGAGCGTAGAGCGAGTTGGATTGCTCCTGCAGTTTGACTGAATTGGTTGAATTTGCGTATTTCGGTGGCTGTCCCGGACTTGTCTCTGCGTACCCTCGGTCCATGATCTGAGTGCTAGTACGGGAGGAGACCTAACACCTTGTATGGGGTAATCGTTGTTTCCAAGACAATTTTTCTAGACACTACTACCCGTCTAGCATATCATCAAAGGAAACTTCAGTACAGTGTATCGAAGACAATCTCCCGTCCCGATTGACCTATGAATGAAGGGCATGCGTGCAGAATGATCTAGGTCCTCAACCGATGTCTCTTCGCATCTAATTCACCTTGAGAAAATAACATCCATGACGCTCCCACCTGCTGGTGCGCTGTAAATGTCGATGACGTGTTCTAAACACCAAAGCCATGACAAATTCGATTGTGTGCCAGCTCCAATGTACATAATTTCATTAGAACCAAACTCTGGAAGGAAAAGACTTGCAATGACAACGAATCCGCTGAAGCCAATTTTAACTAATCCTCCTTTGACTTCTCGCTGCGAAGCGCGCCCTATCGTGCCCGACGCGAGTCTTAGACTGGCCAGTAAATTCATCAAAATATTAAGCTTCAAGCTTCAAGCTTCAAGATCCATATAAACAATTTGTGTACACTAGTCAAAACGCTAACGACATATATAGAGAATACAGTACTTGTGGGGACAGGTAGACAAAGGGGCTATGCTAGACAAGATCTAGGAAACAAGCAGAGCAAATCAGAATATACTAAAATCTACCGACTACCTCAAATATTTAACATCTCAAAGACGTAGTCCAGACTGCTTACGAGTCTACCAGTGACCGAGTTCGACTTCGGCTCTATCAAAACCTATCTCAAGCCAACGCTCAGGTCCAGAAGTCGCTTGGAAGCCCACTCGATCGTACAACTTCTGAGCTCCGGAATTATTGGCACCAACGTATAACACAACTTGCTCATGCGTCTTCAACAACCTAGTCAAGCAGAAGTTAGCATCACAGTACAATCTCATAGATGATAGTTCGTACTCTCTGCAGACACGGAGAACCAACCTTCTAGCACATCCTTTACGCTGCCACTTCTCTGGCGTGTAGACCTTTGTGATGGCAGCAACAGTGTGTGACTGCCGCGTGGCAGCGACAATACTCGCGATATCAGTTTCTCCATCTCCCTCTTTGATCTCGTATACCCAGACTTGCTCGTTTTCAATCATGAGCCTAGCCTCTTTATCAGCTTGTTCGGAAGAGAGAATGAATGGATCCTACAGATTTTCATCAATGAATGTCCGCTTAAAAGGGAGTGGTGCAGCGGACATACCGAAGTTGTGGAAAAATTTTCACACAAGATAGAAATCTTGTCGGCATCCTGTGGCACAGCAAGACGTAGCTCAATGACCTCATCCACTGGTTGAGGGCCATTGCGGACCAACGTCCCAGGAGTACACGCCGAAAAAAATGCATCGTAGTATGGTTTATTAATGCACTTGATCTCTGCGATTTTCTCCCATGCGCTAGCGAAAGCTCTGGAGACTGGTTCAACAGAAAAGACAGAAAAGACCCTCTGCCTTCTGAAGTCAGCCTCGTTCAGAAGCGCCTCGCAGAACGCCTCCATGGGGCCTTGGAGGAGTTCAGAAGCCAATTGAATGGGGGCTACGGGAATAATAAAAATAGGGTATTTGCCCAATGGTCCCTCCGTGCAGGATAGTATAAATCTGATGTCAGAAGTTGCAGGCTCCGAGTAGACCAGCCAAAGCTGCTCGGAACCGGATAAGAACTCTTGGTGACTGGAAACCTTTTCGGCATGTGGAAGGATCACATTTGCGCGAGCAGCGTTGTCCCTGTCCCGCAGAGCACCCCAGACATCTTCTGGGATGTTGGTGCGATCAAAGCGCCGAACAGATGAATTTAAGCCAGGCATGTCTTGTGTAAGGATTCTGAGGCTGGAAGAATGACTGGGTATGATGGAGTGTGTTCTCGAGCTTTATATCCATAAATGCGCCTGCCAGACTACGTTGTGAGGTTATCCTAACGTTGCGATATGCAGAAAGAGCTCAGGGTGGCAGTGAGGCTAGCAAACGTTAAAACGTATCGCCGTGTAGGAGAAGTAAATGCCGACATGAAATATAATGGAATCTTACCTATGATCATCCTTTGGTAAAAGAAAGTCCAAAGGCACTTGCCTAGTGGTAGAAAATAGCTCGACATGCTAGCATTCGGTGAACGATGATTGCCGTGGCTCTGGTTGTAAAATATATGAGACAAGGTATATTTGATGAATGGCATCCGAGAAATTCTGACAGGGGCAGTTGTGAAACACTCGGGGCACGTGCGAACAACGCCCTCCACGTATTCCAACGTACTGACATTGATGCAAGGGAGATATGGCTGCATGTCGAGTTCAAGGGACGAACGCTAGACGTGAAAAATATGTTATCTATGCCATAATAAGTACGATAAACCTACGGCCCGTGCTATATTCAAGTACCCGTAACGGTAGTCGTACCCAAAGAAATATCGCAAGATCCGGGGAACGTCAATTGCTATGAGCACACTTCAGATCTCGCTACAGGTAAATGCGTTTTCATCTCTTACAAAATGTTTCCATGGAACGGCATCGACACTTTTTCTTTTGAATCCTTGTTTATTGACCTGTAGGTTTCGACATTTAGCATAGCCTACAACGGTGCAGCCTCCCCTCATTGGACCCCGCGAGTGCGACCCAGTAGCACTGATGCGTTGTGTGGCTGGGTTCCATTAATCATGCATGGAGTGTCCAACATCATTCTTTGACAATGGAAGAGGTAGGGAGATGACAGACGCTAACTTTAAAGTCGGGCAAGATAGTACCATCCGAAAAGTTCACAACGAGAATTATGTTGTGAAGCGGTGCTAACGTGGCCGAAACAGGACAGAGGATAGCGTTCACAGGAAATCACTGATAGTACATTTTGAACTAGTGCACCAATGCTTTTCAGCGGAACGTCTCCCGTTCTAGCTTGTCCGAATAACATGGAATTTCACGAGTACTTGCATGTGTAGGGCATCTCAGACTCAATTTGATGATTTTGTGATACGTCACTGCTCGGTTTCACCTACAACCATGAAATTTTAATATGAGAATCGTGAAGTATTACTTACAACAGATATCCCATTCATTCTGATACGTCCGATACTTTCCACTCGATCACATCGTGTCCAGCACGTAGTAAGGGTCATCTCTGTTCAACTCGAAGCCTGGGTCTGCTTCTGTCGCGAGAGCGGATGATCAGATTTTGTATATCATATTGTGTTGGTTGCACGAGCTTGTTTGGCAGAACCCTATTGATAGAGAGCCAAACAACCATTGTCACGTAAGTATTGTAAACTGCCTTTAGGACCAATGTCGGATAAAGCAGCTCGGAGCTACACTCATGCGTCAAATCGTGTAAAGGCACGGGCAACCGCAGAGCGAAAAGACGTTTATAAAAGTGTCCTTGAAAATCCATTCCGAATACAATGGTTTGTTTTGGTCCCTTCCAACGTACAACGTGTCTAACATCCTAAGCTAGGCCCTCAATCCCATCAAACGCGCAAAACTTATTCCTCGCGACACTCGTAACCACTTTGGAAAGTGCAGCAAGGAGCGGAAGTCGAAGATCTTTCAAGGCATACGCTAGGAAAGCTCTACCCCGATCGGAAATTGCAGATCCAGTGGAAGGGACAAACCCGAGCTCAGACTCGATAGTATGTTCAAAACCCTCTGCATGTGCCGTGGGTTCCACTCCTTCGCCATCTCTGGCCGTTAGTAAACTTGCTCCGTCGGGCCACATGACTATCGGTATCAACGAAGTGACAAGGAGACTTGAATCGCAGTTGAAGTCTGTCCGACATTCGGTTACACTCACTACCACCTCTCATGCCAATCCAGTAGTCCCCGACATTTCTCCCATTTCTGCGGTCTTTGTGTGCCATGCCGACGTTAATCCTCCGATCTTATTGGATCACATCCCTCACCTTGTGGCAGGATGCAACTCTACGCGCCCCGGATCTAACCCTCTAGAAGCTCGACAGCCCCTGAAATTGATCGTCCTACCGAAGGGCTCAGAGTCCGCACTCGCGCAGGCGCTTGGTCTAAGAAGAGCGGCCGTAATAGCCGTTCATGTAAGTGTTTCAGATGTCAGGATCCTTCCTTCTGATGCCTTCAATAGGATGATGCCCCGTATTTGCCGATTTTTGGCGATATGCTTCAATCTGTACCTGTAATCAGCGCGCCTTGGCTTGTGCCTCCAATCCAGCCCAATTCTCCGAAATGCTTGATTCCCACTCACATCAAACAACTCCGCACCACTGCACCCAAAGATATGAAAGCTGCAAAAGAACAAAGGGCAAAAGCAAGAGTTGCAGCCAAGAAGAATGGTGTAAAACCCAGGCCCAAGAAATGTCTCCTTACGACAGCAAAACCAGATGCATAAACCCGCAAACCACAATATCACGCCCCATGTATTGGTGAGTATTTGTCTGTAAGTACCGATTAATCGCTCTTCTTATCGTGACATAGTTGTTGGTTGTGTCCACCGTTCTCTTACTGGAGCCTTGTATTAATTTTAAGTAGCAGTTCTATTGCCTTCACTGCCCAGACAATACGAAGGATTGAGTGTGTCATTTGACAGAAGTCAAGCAGTACATGGGTCTACGCGTTCTATTCAGTCCTTGTATGGTGCATTAATCTGTCCAAATACACGAAAAGGATATTGTTTTGGTACAAATAAATATTGCCGGTGGGGAGCGCATCAGTGCCGACATTCTTATTACTAAGCGACGTATTATACAGTGGTGGTTGACGAACTTCGGGGGACAGATGCATGTGTCATGATCAGCTTATAAGCTAGTGCATACAAAGGTCTGAGACGCCCTGTCTTAGTAAATCGTGAGTACAGAGAATTGAATTCGTGTTTGGTCTGGGTTCCCTATCTTATGTCTTCTTCCACGTCTGTCACTTCCACACCCACAGACATCCGCTCCAGCTCCAGCTCATCGCCCGGCGTTGCGATTTCAGCCTATTCCTTTGGCTTTCTCCTCATATCAGTTGTTTCCCTGTTCATCATCATTTCGTGCTGTTTTGTTCGTTGTCGGTCTGGCGCGTTTCCCGGTACATCTTGGGATACGACAGAGCAGCTGGACGGAAGGGGCGGTCGACGAAGGAAGTTGGTACCTCCGGTTTTGTGGGATGCTTGGCTGAGCCGCCCTCCTGCATCGACCAAGGAAGTCTTGGGTGCGGGTCAGTTTGAATGGTCGAGTATTCAGGTATGCACCAGTGTTCTGTTGCCTTTTGTGTCTGATAATCGCTTTCAACAGCCTGTATACGTATCTCTCATCCACGCGTGCTGCTCTCGGTCTGCACGTCAATTTGCAGTAGCTGAGTCAGAAGTACCTGCAGATCATTCTACTGCGGCACGGCCTCCTCCCGATGATTCCCAGCCTTCTTCGCCCTTACCTCCGCGAAGACGATTTGCATTCCTTCTCGCACATCCTTTTAACTTCCATATGTGGCCACGGCGACGCTCACGCACTCATCATAGATCAGCGGCATCCGAAAAGCCCACAGAAGATGAGACTGAGAATCACCCAGAAGCTGTAAAGATCGCTGTGATGATCTCTATGCCTTCTTCCGCCTTCAGATGTTGGAACCATGGAGGGGGTCCTTCGTGTCAGTCTACTGGCCCAGACGATGCGCTGCGAGAATATCAGATTGGGGTTGCGCAAGTTCCATGGATACATGGCGAGTGTACTCGATGTTGACATGATCTACGTTCTTCTTTTCTGCTACCAGCCCCCAGCGTGTGGACGTAGTCGCTCACGTCCGCTTGAAACATGTGCATATGACATGTACGTAGTAATATAACTACAAGATTAAGTTGAATCTAGCGATAAATGCACGTATAAACACTCTAGGCGTCTAGGACGACCTGCAACCGAATATGGTGAAGGCCACGACGATTCATGCAATAATTTCAAGTATTCGATCTAGGGTTATGAATTCAGGAATGATGAGAGGCTGATGATTCCTTGGGCTTTAGTCCTAGGAAGGAAGCCAAACGCTGTAAGCGCGATGGCCTGCGCGAAATAGATGCTCCTGTTTGCACATGCTCAGGGGTAGGAATGCGGATAGGCTCAGTCATGGGGTCAACTTCCTCCCCGTCCGACTGCTCCGGTACCTCTGGAACCCATGGCTCAAGCGGCAGATCCGCGCGATCAAATGGCACTGATACGTGAGGAGGGACATCATATGGTTGCTGAGACTGCTGGAATGGATATGGGTAGTCGGGGGTGTATGGTTGCTCAGAGGCGAGATGTTCAGAAGCATATGGGGGCTCGGAGGTGTATGGGGCCTCGGAGGCGTATGAGTACTCGGAGGCATACGGTTGTCCGTACGGTACTTCAGCGCTAGGCATTTGCACATAAATCTCAGGCATAGGCATAGAAAATGACGGGAAAGGCGCAGATGAAGGGTCCGGAATGGGCGGAGACGAGTCAACTATGACATAAAGCGCGGTCAGTCCAACACTAACGGGAAAAGAAAGCCACAGGTTCTACGCACACGGACGATGTTCCATGATGTCTATATCAAGGCGTTCTGATAGAAAAACAGATTGAGCACAACCCTGGCTCGAGAAGGTGCAGCACAAGGTGGATAAAAAGTGGGAAGATGTGATGGGTGTCGTAATTGTCCGCATATCCAGTATCCAGCTTTATAAGGCATCGTCCATGAGGGAGCACACTTCAGAAGAGTCCTTTCGAATCGAATCGAAGTTCTAGCCCTGGGGGCTGCGCAGAATCTTGGCTGAAAATCCTCTTCCGAACGCATCATAGCCTTTAAGTTAGCCGCCCAATCATCATGCGTGATTTTATAAAAAGAAAACTTTGGTAGAAAAAGGTCGCAATAAAGTACAGCCATCTGCAGAAATAGGTCCATAGAGGCGCTTTTTTGCGTTACGGATGTATTCGATGTCGCCCCTGCTTTATCCGATATAATGAGTGTCAAAAATATCGAACATTGTAGTTTCACGGTCAGCCCTGTCCGAAAGAATCGCTGTGCAGGCGCTTTGCTCTCATTGGTTCCAACGACAACTATAGGCCAAAATGAGTGATGTCAGTGGCAGTAATCGTGACATGACAAGGACACGTATGCGGTAGTTATGAAGGGTGGCAGGTCCGGAACCATTCAACGTCCAGCTCGCACTCCTGACGTAGAAGTCATACAGCAATCATTGCAGTCCAAAGGGCGATGAATGAACCCTATGCCCAATTCCTACCCGCCCGCCTCCCAGCCTCGACGCAATCACCAACGCTAACGCCCCCCACGCCGGCGCCGATCACCTCTAGCTTACTGCTCCACGGCTCTCCCTGAAGCACCTCGCTCAACTCCTGCATCCGCTGGAGGTGCCCCACACGCAGCAGGGGGATGCAATGTGCATTGTCGTGCACCCTCACGACGAGCGGATCGGGCAGACGCACACCTAACTGCTCAGAGAGCATATCTACAAGGCGAGCAATTGAAGCCACAGGCTCGCGGAGCATCGCAGTCATTTTCACAATATCCGCGCTCCACGGCGCTTCTTGTGTCGACATTGACGAGGAGTCGAAAACGCACCCCAGAATCGCGTTTTCTGCATGTCTAGATGATGCTCGGGGCACGAGGTACCCGAATCCCACAGGATGGAGTACATGTCCCGGAGACGCCAGGAACACGAGGTTTACGACCGTCACCGACGAATAAGGATTTGCAGTCAGGTGTGGCAATGGCGTCTTGGGCGAGAGGAGCCCTTTCAAACTCGGGAGAGGCACAGCCGAGACAGTGTGTGTTGCGCGCAGCGTCTCGCAAGATGAGGTCGTTATCTGGGCACAAATAATTATTAACAAAAGACTACCTATTCGAAGTGCATACGTACTTCGAATTGTGCAGTTCTCGGATTCATCCGTAGTCCCGTCGCTGACACACCGCCAACTAGGCGCACGTTCCGGCGCGTTCTCAACTCTCGTAAGAGTGCATCTACCAACGCACCGATCCCTTGCGAGAACGAATACACAGATACTCCACGCATCTGCTCATCTACGTCCCCTAGCTGATATGGGAGGTCATTGACCTCTGCTGTCGCTGAAGCTCTGGACGGCCGAAGAAGCCCAGTTACCAAAGAGCCACGACCACGTTCCTCGGCATCCCAAAGCGATGGGAACGCTGCGCGGACGCTCAATTCCCGAGAGTCCGCTGCATAAATACCGTGCACGAGTGCACTTCCGAAAATCCTTGCAAATTCGCTCCCGAAACGCCTACTCAAGAATTCGTCGACCGACTCGTCCTCGATCATTAGGGGCCTGTTCCATAGGCGAAATGGCTCTCGTGCGACAGCTGAAAGAAGGATATGGCCAAGGGGGGAATGCAAAGAAGAAGACTTAGGTGAGAGCCCGGAGGTAAGAATACTGAGCGGAGATGAAGGAATGCACAGAAGGCCCTTTGTGCCAGGTAGATGCAAGAAGCGATTCCGAGCAGCTGGTGATGATTTCGGAACAGTTAAAAGAAACGGCGATAGGTCCAGAAGGTTAATCTAGTCTGGGACGCGCCCGATGAGAAGGTCCTCACAGAAGTTGTATTAAACTAGCCAATTACCCACCAATTCGAGAACACTCTTTGAATTTGGTCTAAGAGTGCGCGGGCCAGCCTCCAAAAGCACGCTGGTCTCGCGACCGTCTTTAAGGGTGATTTTAGCGCGCCTAGAATGAACCCATCCGCCAAAGTGGATGTCCTTGTTCAGTAGAGTGATCTGAGCTGCTGGAAACCGACGTGAAAGGTGAAAAGCGGCGGAAAGGCCAGTGAGACCACCACCCAAGATGGCGATAGAAGACGGTGCCATAATCCTCGTATCTCAAGCACAGCGCGAAACTACCGAGACATTTTCTGAAGAGTCTTGTTATGGGCCTGGCGCTCCCACTGCCAGTCGAAGCAGCAAGTCGCTACTTGAAGAAGTATTTTCCCACACATGTACAGTGACACGTCCTTCTTATGCATACAACTGCAGTGCTTAGCACCGTACACACGCCTTTTTCCTTCTCCAGCACCACCATGGCACCCCGAAAGAATGCCAGAGGACTTTCGCCAATACCTTCAACACCAGAGCGTCGTCCAAGTTCAGTTGCTTCCTCTCCAGAAAAACCACCTGGTCCATTAAGCATCACTATCTCTCCGGAGGAACGCGAGATTATCAAGGTCAACAACTACAGCGCGGCTGAGCTCAAGAACGCATGTGATGATGCCCTTAAACGAGTGCGTAGTTTTAATATTGTAGCTATGAAAATATGCTCACATCACCCACCATCGCAGTACTTATCGAGACCCGTTTTGTTTAAACAAATACATCTTCATACCGATGTGCGGCTGGCTTTGGGATGGGCAGGCGTATTCACAGCAGTAGCTACGGGACTTTATGGATGGAAAATTGACTTCGAAAAGTCGAAGCCAGGAGTCTGGGTTGGGTTCATACTGTAAGTGTTCACTATGAAACATCACGATCCATTTTATTGAAAATCCCCCCCCCCCTGCGTTACAGCTACCTGGTCCTCACCTCCCTTCAGACATTATACTCCTACTTCGTGGAGGGCGATACCATATTTGTCGGTCGACGGAAAACCTTTTCAAAGAGAGTGAGTCTGAAACAATTATGCTATCCTTCACTCCGCTCATTTCTCTTCAGATAATAACAGAACGGATAACGATTTCCTCAGGCACCCTCCCAGTACCGTCCTCTAAATTATCTCTCAAGCCGAGCCCCACGAATTCACCATCATACTCGCTTTCCATCAATTACGTGCAGTCTACATCAGGGGGGAAATCACTACTTGCAAAGGGCCGAACACACGAATCCAAAGAATACTCGGCCTTCTTCGACGAAAAGGGTGTGATGGCACAGGAGGTGTTCGAGCGATGGATCGGAGAGCTGGTAGAGGCAGTGATGGAGGGAAAGGGTGCATGAATTGTATGTCTATGTAGAGGCCTTTCATTGATATGCTAAAAGGACGCGTTGTTGCGATCCCCTTGCCCAAACTTGGCTCTAAGAGACAACTGACATAATTATCTTTTTATGACGATGCGGCAATCATCTATGTCACCCGCGCCTAGGCTCATGTCTCGGCATCCCATGTCACATAAGATTCCCCACTCCAATGTGTGTGCACTTCAGTGGAGTGGGTTGTCATGCGCACGTTCAACACGCGTCACTTGATTGAACGATTTCAATTGGCTGACTAGGATACTGGGCATTAGCTATCTATATTGTACACGTTGTAAGAACGGAGCTGGTGTCGACGCCATCATGATGTGCGCGCGCAGTCCACTTTAGCCTGACAGTGTTGACACCTATGTATGGTAATGTCTAAGCTAAGCAATTTAGTTTCGGGCAGACCGCCAATGCCGACCGCTACGACAACGATGGCAACGGTGACTGTTTCGACGTCGGACAAGCTACTTCATAAACCGACCAGCAAAAGTTCGTCGACGACGGAGGCAACACTACAATCACTGTACAACCGTGCGGTGAGAGCATTCCTTCACCGAGACGTCGCAATCACGTTCACACTATTAAGCGCTGCATTCGCGCTCCTCCCACCTCCCCTCGCGCCCTCGCCTGATCCCCTAGATGTCCACCGGAGAAAGTGGGACATCCTTCGCATCACCCTCGAGACCACCGTCTTCTCTTCTACTCCGGACCTCGTTGATTTACCACAGCCACTCCGAGAATCCCTACTCTTGTCTCCCCAATCATTTATTTCCAACTTATATGCTCGATCTCTCGCTTTGTTTACTCCTTCATCACTGTATCGAAAGCCTAGCTCCGCATTCCTTCCGCACCAAATTGTCATCACACTCATAGCATCCAGCATCAAGATAGATTGTCCAAATATTGGTCGCGAGATCACAGAGGACTGGTTGTCGAAACGCGGTCAATATGATTTCGTACCTTCCACAGGTGAACCATATCACAAAGTTCTGGAACTCTACTGCTTGCATGTCTTGCCTCGTTTGGGTGAGTGGGAATACGCCAAAGAATTTCTGTCATACGAGAATGAGCTCTCGTCTGATAAAAGACACGTGAGTTTAAGTTCGTGATTCTTGTGTTGTACTGAACACAATATTTCCAGGAACTTCATTTGGCTCTTGAGGCTCAACATGCTCTAGCGCTAGAGAGTACAAAGTGGAAGACACCAAAACCCGAGCCTTCTCCCTCCCCTATACCAATACCTCCACTCCGTTCTCTATCCCCAGCATCTTCCTCCTCCTCTCTATCCACCACATCCACCCGCACCGCAGTCCCAGCATCCCCTCGTCCAAAAATTACCCGCCAACAATCCGCATCTTCCACCTCTGCAGTTTCAGACGTCACGGTAACTCGATCCCCTCGCCATGGCCACAACCAAAGCATGCCCCGAGGAAGTTCAAGTGCCAGTGCCGTTCGCATCTCCCGCCTTCCTCCAGTCGACCACAATCTCGCGACTGCACAGCCCCCAACTTCCCTAGCACTCATAAGATCTTATTTCAACCACTATTTCACCGCAAACAGAATAGCCACCCTATCGGTCTTGTTCTTCCTAATTCCCCTACTATCTTTGATCCTTCGGAGACGGCGGCGCTTAGAGACACTTGCGGACCTGGTAAGGAGGAGATTGTTGGAAGCACGTAGCGATTCAATTGTGAGACGGTTATGGAATGAGTTGGTGAGGGTCGTTTTGGATACTGTTAGGATGGGTGGCGGGTGACTTGTACATAGTAAGCATATGTTTTAGAGTTCACTAAGACTGCTGACCTTGACGTCGTCCACTTCTCTGGCACATGCTTTCACTCCGATAATGCTAGTTGGTGATCTTTAGCCTTAGCGCTTGGTGTAATCATACAAGCATCTAACGTGCCGAACTGCCATCGAGCAACATGGAAACACAAGTGCAGCATGACCTGAACTTCTCAACAACTACATTTACGTCCCCATATCCCAATTCACGCTTTTCCTATCACCAACGGAGAAAATTTGCAAGTGCCTTCTGAGCGCGTAGCCGCACTGCCGCAGGCATCTACATACCCATCAATCTTGACTCAAGTAGGCGCTAGAAATTAGCCATCGAAATCGATCGGATGCTGTGTAATGAAGAAGTCGTTGGCAAACTTGAAACATCGTGGGATGCGCTGCTCAATCATGGAAAAGGGCCTTTCGGTGAGCAACCTCCTTCCCACTCATGCATCTCGTAGACAACTCCTTCCCATTTGTTTGTGGTGTTCACCCTTCCCTCACACTGAAGGCCGCTGTTCCGCATGCTCACAACAATCAGGACAGTGCACTGCTTGATGTGAGTGACATCAGCCTACGTTGTTGGCTTTTGTTGACGGAACACCTGCTGCAGTCCATCGCTGAATGTGAGACACGGGTGCGGGCAATGAACAATTTGTTACATACGTGACAAGCCTCAAGATGGTCTCTCACCTAAATGACGCCATACAGCATTTTGAGTTGATCCTGGATATCCGATCGGCCATCCTGATCGTGCAGCGGCTCTCACCAACCTTGCGTGAGCCTGCCTCAAAGGCTATATCCAAAACGATCTTCAAGACATCGACTCTATCTCTTCTTTCTTCCGCCAAGCCCTTGCATTGCGTCCGCAGGGCCACCCCGATCATCCGTTATTCATCCATCACCTCCAGAAGCGCTGGCCTGGCGCTATAGCAACTGTCCTGCAAGCTATTACCACTTTGTCCAGAGGGCACCATGAGAGCCATCAGCCTCCACCATTTGGCAATGACCTTCCTCGTCTCGACGTCCCACAACCTAACTTTCCAATCATTGCTTCCGCATGCAATTGTCTTGCCGTTTGGAGACAATGCCATGGCTCGCAATCCTACGTTATCCTCATGTTGCCAGTCCTCGCCTATCTGTGCGCCACTCTTTAGGTCCCATAGGCGGAGTGAGCCATCCGACGAACACGTGCCGATGTGTCGGCCGCCAGGCAAGTGCACAGTGGTCACTGGTGTCTTGGAGAGTCGCTAGGTTATCCAGCAACGACAATGATTGCTGTTGAGTCCAGGAGCTTATCTTTAATTTCCAATTTGATGTTTGTAAGAACCGTACAAGCCATAATGTTACTCACGAGACAGTCTTACGGGATTCAATATCTAACCCTCTCCCACAAGACGGCTTTTGAAAACAGATTTTCGCTGTTAAGCATGTCGTCAGCTTTAGCTGGCAGAAGGGCCTAGAGTATCACTCATGGGAAGCACCTTTCAGACAAGCGCAGTGCGCAATCACTGGGTGTATGGTTGGGAGTTGAGGAAGTTGAGCAGTCGTTTATTCATGCCATTTTTCAAGCCATGTTCCATGTGTTATCCTCATGTTTGCTTCATAACTTCATTGCTGTGTAGTCGAAGCGCTCAAATCTGTGACCGGTGCTATGTGCTGTGCATCTTCCCATAAGGAAAGGACTACGTCGATGGCTAACGATTATTCGACAGCGTCTCGCGCCTTGTCTCCACTCGGCATATTTCTTCTAGCTCATGTCCGAACTCGATGAGCACGAGCACGAGCAGCTTTACTATTCACGTTTTTTCAGAGACAAACCTCTGACGCTGCTTGACATTATGGAGAACCATGCTACGTGCTCCATGAAGAGGAAAGTGCCGCTCGAACAGAGGATGATTTTTATTTATATTGGTGTGTACTTTGATCACGGATTTTTACCCTCCCTGTGTACATCAAGATACTACCCTGATACTGTGGCAGTGTAGTCATCTTGTTCTATACTTCTCTCACACAGATACCGAGGGCTCGGACAATTATGCCACCAAACAGCAGGGACAAGCAAAGTTCCTAGTAAATGGCATTACTGCGTGGTAAACGGCCAGCGCAAGATTTCTGGCTAGGGGTATTATAACATATCACAGGTGTCGTCAGAAACCAACGTGTCTCATATAGCTTAGATCAATCATATCTTGCCAACAAGCAAGTTCTTAATCATCTCTCGGCCCGTGATGCGAACAGTGTGGTATAACGTCGGAAGATCTAGGGTAGACGTGAATGTGTCCGCGAGACCGAAGGGCATCATCAACGGGATCCAGCCTGAAAAAAGAGAAGGAAAAAATTGAGACAACACAACAATGCCATCCCAAAGTGCCACGTACCCCGAGCATACTCAAGCGCGAAGCACCCCTCATGCATCTTATATTGCTTCGCCGTACCCCTGGGGAGGAAATGCACATCCCCAGGGCCGTACCTTTCCATCTCCAGTGCACCTGGGCTGAACGCCCACTGTTCGCCGACTAAGATATGGAAATAGTCATCTGCGGTGTGCAACCCTGTGTGTCCTTCTGTGCCTAGAGGGGTACCGAAAATAATGAGGTACTCAGTGATGGACGCGTGGATGATGTACATTGCGCCCATTGCGCCTCCAGCATTGCTGAATACCCACTCAGAGGCGTTCATGTTGAGGGAGATGGCAGGAGAGTCGAGTTGTGGGTGCGTAGAGGTGAGGTTAGTAAGAATGTGGTTGATCATGCCTTGGGGGTCATTTGGAGAGACGGAGATGGCTTCTTGCGCAAGCTCATGGAGGAACTTGGGCTCTAGAACATACCACCGGTCCTGTGGTTGAGGTTATTTGGTGCGGTAAAAGAGTTGGAGGGGTGACTGACCTTGATACCATCGAGCCAGGTAAACGTTGCAGCGAGGAACAACAATACAACTATACGTGTTATCCATTTTGTTAAGTTATTTTGTGGCTTTGGTGGGGGCTGCTCGGCAGCCGCGTTTCCTGATCGTTTGGTTCCCATTGTGAATTCTGTTATTTGGACCTTTCGTTATGACTCGCGAAAGAACAAGAAAGAAATTGCAACGGCAGCAGCGTTGTGAACTGCGGTAGTTGACGTGGTTTAAAAAGCTGAAACTGAGGCACGCACACGTGACCACCACGGACGCGTCTCACGCATTAAAATCAGGATCAACGAGATGTATTCCAGAGTGAAAAGAAAATGATTACTATAAAAAATACAAATACGTCCTACACCGAACACCGAAAATAAATCGAATAAGATTATACTTCCTGGCTCTCTTTCTTGCCCTTTGCACTTTTACTGGGTAGCAGTTCGGGGTTGATGAAAGGCACGACGCCACCCTGTGAAATGACGACGTCTCCAAGGAGTTTGTTCAGCCTATAGAAAAGTGAGTTAGACACTGCAGAATGACTGGGAATGTTTTGCGTACTCTTCGTCATTTCGGATGGCTAGTTGCAAATGTCTGGGAACGATACGTTGCTTCTTGTTGTCGCGTGCTGCGTTACCGGCAAGCTCCAGAATCTCAGCGGCCAGATACTCTAGTACCGCTGCGAGGTAGACTTTTCCACCCAAGTCAGAATCAACAACTGGGTGATCGAATTCAGTGAAGGGCTTACCAGGTGCGCCAGCACCAACACGCTGTGCGTAGTTTCCTTTCTTCAAGAGACGGTGAACACGACCGACAGGGAATTGAAGACCGGCTTTGGCTGAACGGGATTGAGACTTGGATGATGATTCACCAGAGGCTTTGCCACCAGACTTTGCCTTTCCGCCGACTTTGCCAGACATGATAGTTAGATTGAAGTGTGTTGTGAGAGTGTGTATGTACAACGACGGAGGACGGGAACGCAATAGGGGAGCCGGGATCAATGGACAGCTGTATTTATACTGACAACACGTGATTTTATTCAATAAGGTTCAACAATCAACAAAGAATTGTGGACGCGTTGATCTGGTACCAAATAAGACCACACGCGTCACAAACGATAAATACAAACGCCCAAACCAAATCTGTCAGATAATCATTCATCCCCACATTCACACTACCTCTTCATCAAATGGCACCTAAACCAGTCTCCACCGCCTCAAAGGCCCCTGCTTCCACTGCTGCCTCAAAGGCACCTGCAAAGACTACAGACAAGGCAAAGAAGGCTACAAAGACTTCTGCTGCTGCTGCTGCCGGGCCTGATGGTGAAAAGAAGAAGCGTCGTAAAGTCCGCAAGGAGACCTACTCCAGTTACATTTACAAGGGTATGTACCATTAACATCTCTTACAGTTCCAGATCTGACTCTCGTCGCAGTGTTGAGGCAGGTGCACCCTGATACCGGTATCTCCAACAAGGCAATGGCCATCTTGAACTCATTTGTCAACGATATCTTCGAGCGCATCGCAACGGAAGCATCTAGTATGTACTCTCTCATTGTCTTTTTAATCATTCCTAACCTATTCCATCCAGAACTCGCTGCTTACTCCAAAAAATCGACAATATCTTCTCGGGAGATTCAAACATCTGTACGACTTATTCTACCTGGTGAACTTGCCAAACACGCCATCTCGGAAGGCACCAAGAGTGTCACCAAGGTCAGTTCTTTCACCTTCATATCGCGTCTATCTTACTCACGTTGCATCTGCAGTTCTCGAGCTCATCAGCGAAGTAGGCTTATACTTGATTGTTCTACTGTTATCTCGCTGGACAGCATGCGCTGTTGTATTGTAGATGTACCATTTACATTATTTTAATCTACTCTTTCGATTTGGAACTTGCCAAGTGCGCGAACTTTTCAAGTAATCAATAGTGAGCTCCATGGCGAGCGTCCCTAGAAGTTACCACCGATATACAGTATATGCTTGGTGACAAAGTTGGCGGAGATAAAAGTTAAGTACTGCAAGGCATTGGTATGCTTCATGGCTCAGCGCTCAGGCCTTAAGCTTTAGCAACTCCAACTCGAAGACCGACTCGTCCTTTTGAATATCTGTCACTAGTAAATATCCTCATCCAGTGCTCAGGAGGGATCTGTGTCTCAGACCTTACTCGATGATGCCCCGAACCAACATGGTGGATACATGAACTTCTGTGCAAGCTGTGGGGTCGCAGTGGACTTTTGAGCAAGCAAGTGCAATTGGCGCGCGCGCACGGGCCGCAATTTGCACCCTGTAGGTTGTACATGTATCGGTGAGTTTGCAACTTCATCAGGATCTTACATACTCGATGAAAGGCCAATCAGATCTATTGAATAAGGCCGATATCAAATGTTGTCCTTGCTTCTGGCTTGGGCACGAGGTGATCATCACATCGTTCGTTCGCCTCCTTGGACAAAAGGTACGTTAATCCCCGCTATTGCGAAGTACTAGAACCCCGCCTTCGGCTCACGATCCCAGACTTTAGTAACTTGGATGCCATACTCGGGTGATCTGGCGCGCTGGCTACTCGAGCTTCTCAGCCTCCGCGAGTAATAGATATCCCGTGGTGTGTTACGATCTCATATTCGGTTTATTGAACAAAGACATGCTCCCCTGTGTGTCAAACAGACGTAAGATGTGATCAACGCCGGCTTACGGTCTCCCCATACCCCGATGCCGGCTAGGCATTCGCTCCCTAAATGACAGGCTTCCCAGCTTGCAGACACCTCGTAGTTTTCATCTCGGATTTCGCGACTTATCCGGTGGTTTTGAACTTCATATCTATCCAGATCATCTGATGGTCGGGTTCAAAGTAGCCTAACCTCTGATAGATAGTAGCGGATTATTCGCTTCATGCACGTATAAATGGCCTAGGAATTTTTGCTTTCAATCCATTCCCCAAGAACTGTAACACCATGGCAGAATACCCCGCCCAAGCAAACCACCGTCTCAACGAGTCAGCGGCTAACCATGATGTTCCTGCGCAACACCTTAGCCATGATGGCCCGCCTGATGCAGGTCTTAATGATGATATCCCCCAAGAGCATGTCTTCCCGCTGTATATCGGCTCACCATACTCATTTCACATCTACAGGGACCTCGTCAATCGTCTCATTCGGGACAACCAAGACATTTGGAACCAGTTGCTTCACAACCAGTTTGTCGAGGACATGCGTGTTGCAGACGCAGACAACAAGCACGTTCTCCATGGTTTCAAATGGTACATGATCGTACGTTACTTGTTACCTGTTGATGTTTCAAACTGTGGCTCATCACCCTGCAACGCACAGCAAGATTTCTTCTACTGCGTGCAACTCATAGCATACAACGCTGATCGCGCTGCAAAAGCTCCCAACCCAACGATATACGGGAAATTGACCTCAACTCTCAACAACACGCTGACGCAGTGGGCTCCCAACGCCCTCAAAACTTGCACCGATCCCGATCAGCTGAACATCCCAGACACTGTGGTCTTCGCCGCCAACAGGGAAGAGGCAACTGAAAAATACTCAAAGTTCATCTCTGACACTGCGGAGGATCAGAACTGGGTAGTCTCTTTACTCGCCCAAGTCCCCGGTATTCAGGTTCGTGAAGGGATATGAGGTCAATTTATAACAGTCGAGGCTGACTTGGACTCGATTGTTAGTCGTACTATGCGATCGCTAGTGACCTCCGAGCGAATGCTTTCCACAAAGGTCAGTATCTTCTTCCAGTAGTGCGCGAGCCTGCAAACTGATCTGACGATGCTTCCAGACACTGCATGGTACAACATCTGGGCTGTCGATAACGCCAAGCACCGCAAGTCCACGATTGAACAAATCAGTAAGGGATCGATGCGCCGTGTAACTCTATCCAACCATTGACGCCGTCTCTGCATAGATTTCTTCAAGGCTAACTATGAGAGCTGGAAGGACATTCCCTATGAGAAGTTGACTAGAATCTTCAGGGAGGGGTGTCAATGCGAGATCGATTTGTGGAACGTAACGCTGAACCCTGGACCCGTGGAATGATTGTGCGGACCAAGTATGTAATAGTATCGGATTGGAATACAACACACGTCAATGTCAACATATTAGTCTGCGTCGACGCGAGATCAACGATAAACTAAGGTCATTATAATAACGGTTTTCGATCGATGGCGGTAGGAGGCGGTATTAACAGTTCCTGGCAATGGCCGTTATAGAGAGACAAACTTTATCTAATTACGAAGTACTAGGAACATGAATTAGGAAACGTTATCAACAATCAAGAAAATATAGAGGTATGCACAGATGTTCCGGTAGGTATGATGCTAAAGATTGTACTACAATGCAAAAACAAACGAGACCCTGCCCCGACCTGCGACCTACAAATAAATGAGAATCCCGTATCAGCTCTGTCTCTTCCCGTTGGTTGGATCTGATTCCGGCCGATGAGTTAGGCCCGCCCTGCGGGGTACATGGCCCCCTTCCGTTGTCGTAAACCGATTTGGCTGGGGTGACACTGTCCGTCGCGCTTCCCTGTGCCCGCGGTCGCTGTCAATATGCTTTCCCCCTTGCGTCGATTGAGGCGCAGGAGAAACCATCCCTGCGCAAGATGAGGAAGCCCTCGATTGGCTCTCTCCCTCTTGCTCACTCGAATGAAATTCGCTTCCCTCTCTAAATATCTCTTTTGCAATGCCGCAGACGAGTGGGAAGTAACCTGTATCATCAGCCGGTCCACTCTGCGGAGGGAAATAATCGCCCCCAGAACTGGGGGGATGACCATGGTTGTGCCATTGCTCGTTTGCATGCACGGGGGCTCCCGGAGCTGGGTTTATCCACGGTGCCTGCGGCCAAAACGCACCAGGTGTCATCGTCACGCCAGGCGTCATCGGCACCCCACCAGGCGTCAACGGCACCATCGTCACTGATGACGGGTATCCGGTGGATACGGGCACCATGATCCCAGGCGAAAGAGGAATTCCGGGGGAGAACATGTGCGAAGGCAGGTGTGACGAGTACGGAACTTGGGAGTGCGGCGGGAGGTGGTATGGAGATGATGGCGGGGGAGCCTCAGTTTGGCCTTCCGCTGCCTGACCCCGATAACTCCCATCATTTGAACTCTGCTGCTCTGTGGTATTAGCGTGCCCGTTTGTTGGCTGCAAGAATGTAAATGGCGGCATGCTGGGAGTAATGGGCGGCAGGCCGTGCGGTGTTATGACACCATAATGCATATGGTAAGGGGAATGGAGCGGGCTGATCGCGGGGTGATGTATAGGGCTGCGCACACCAGGATGATGCAACGGGCTCATGGGATGCGATGGTGCATAGCCAGCGTGATACATTGGACTCTGTGGGTGGTGTGGAGGATATGGGGATAGCACCGGTGGATGTGGAAGTGTAAATGTACATGGAGGAGGCAGCGCAATAGGTCCAGGTTGTCGGCGGGAGGATGCCGGTTTCTGTGGCGATGTTTGCTTCTGCGGAGACGAAGATGTAGGCTTCGAATTTAGTGAAGACATTTTGTTTTTCTCTGCAGCCTTGGAAGCTAGCGCCTTGGACCTTCGCAAACCCAGAGATCCAAGTGCAGTCGCGGTGACGTTGGTGTTTCCTGACCCCTCAAACTTGGCCGGTGTGGATCCCTGGCTTGGTTCGACCTCTGAAGCGCCCCACATAGATTGAGACTTGTTCGGCAGGTCTGAATTGAGGATCGGATGTGCAAGCACGACAGATTTAGGCGAGGTCTGCCGGGGACTCGACATACTTGGCCATCCCCCGCTCGCCGGAGGGGACGTTGACGCGGTATCACTGCCTACGTCTGACTTAGGACGAGTCAGTTTATGCGGTAGGGAAAATGTTGAGCTCGAGCTTGAGCCCGAGTTCTCCCGCGGCGTGCCCATACTAACAGGATGGCCCACAGACCCCTGCCCCTCTCGTTCGTCATCAAAGAACGGCTCGTTCAACAGCGAGCTCGCACTGAATGTAGGGCGCCGCGCAGAACCACTGCTAAAAGACGGGCGCTGAGATGTGGAGCTAAAGGTGGGCCGCTGGGATGTCGAAGAGCTGAAGGACGGTCGCTGGGATTGGGATGCGCCAAACGACAGCCGCTGTGAGAAGTTCGTGCCATCAGTCAATGATGATGTTGTACTAAAGCTTGGACGTGATGACCCTGATGAACTCGTTGTGGTATAGCTTTGCGTTTGCGAAGAGCCCGCAGAGACACTTGGACGCGGCGAGCTGGAGTTTGATGTCCGCGATTTATTTGATGATAGCGGATAATTGTCGCTCCCGAGTTTCATGTCCGTATTTAGCTTCAAGGTGAGGGAATCGGCAACACCCGAGTGTGGGGGCAACTTGATGGCAAGGGCGTCGTTACCCAGAGATAGACTAAGGGGAGCGAAGTTTGTCGAGCTATTATTTGAGAACCCTAGATGAGGTGAACTTGTCAATGAATGCGGATGGGTGGGCGTAGGCGCTAGTGAATGGGCTGCTGACGGTGCAAGGGACTGAGTATGCAGGAGTGCAGGTGAGGGCGAAGTGAGGGGGGCGGAGGTAAGGGGACTTGAACCGAGAGAACCTGATGGCGCAATAGAGCGAGCTAACAGGACTTCTAGCTGAGATGATGTTATGGGATCTCGATCAGCACGTCGAAGTGGATCTAATGGGGGGTGCATCAGAGAATCCAGCTGCGAATGCAACAGCCCATCCAGTGTGAGCTGAGATAGATGTTCATTTTGTTGACGTCCCAACTGATGGGACTCCAGTTGTAGGGATTGCAAGTGGGATCCAAGAGTATCATATTGTGATAGAGTGGATGGGACTGGTATTTGTACGCCAACATGAGGTATCGAGGCTGCGGACGGCGAGAATTTATCGTAGTGGACCTTCAATGGTCGTCCATTGAATTCATACCTGGAATGGATCACGAATAGTCAGCATATGGGCCGAAATCGATTAACAGAACACGAAGGCATCGAAGGGTTCCAATCGTGTGTAGTGCCGCGACACGCTACATCGCTCACAGCAAAAACATTTCATGATCAAAATGTGAACAAGATAGGGATGTATAAGAAACCCGGAAGGCGCATGGTACATCATGAAGAAGGCAGCCACGCACCCATCAAACATCCTACATGCTCGCTCAGCACCATCTTCTGTGACAAAGCTGACTGTTCCGAACCCGCGGGAGCGCCCATCGGGCCCAACGGTAACATCTGCTCGAGCAACAGCACCAGCTGCACGAAACAGGTCCTTCAAATCCTGCCACTGGATATGGAAGGGAAGCTGAAGTGGAAGAAATATGAGCAAATAGACACTTGCGGCACCACATGTAAAATATAGAGATGGTAATGGTAGAAGGTTACTTGCACAAACTCGTGATGATCCATAATGGGAGGAGTATCAATGAAAGAGGGGACAAAATCAGGCAAGCAGATTGACAGACTCACGTTACCCACAAATAGGGTTTTCATTCCAGTGCCACCCACCACATCCTGTCCAGATGTGATTTCATCATGTGGATTGCCTGAAGATGGGAACCCTGAGGGGTGCCCATTTGCGCCTCGGATTGCGAGGCTGCTGCCCATTTCATCGACACTTGCGCCAAGCCTGTCGGGGCGCACCTCCAGGACCCTGGTTTGCCAGCAAAATCCATTCAACATGTCAATTGCCCTTCCCGCATCCTCTGCGGTGGCCAGAAGGACGGTACCATAGCCTCGTGAGCGATTGTCAGGCCCTAGTGATACATCAGCACGCAAGACAGTGCCTGCGCGACGAAAAAGATCCTTGAGGTCTTGCCAACGGACACGATACGGGAGCTGCAATATCTGGTCAGGGCTGATCAGCACTCAGGAGGGTCTACAGACGACCATACATTTCCAACGAACAACTGAGCGCGGGTATCTCGTAGGGGGACTAGCTGGCGGGAATCCTGAGATTGCCTAGATGATGTGGCCATTTGAATGACAGCCTCAATGTCATCATTTGTGGGACCCGGGAACTCAGAAGGATGTATCAGGCGAGGAGGAGAGAAATCCTGTTGCGATAAGTGAAGAGGAAAAAAGGCATTAGAACCTAGACGATAGAGGAAGGGAAGAGTAAGTGGATCAACGCACAGAAAGAGGCGTCGCTGACGCCATCTGGAGCGGAAGGTGCTAGTACGGCTGCAAGGGTATCTTTGGCTTGGCTTTATTTATGTTGGGGTATGAGCTTCGCGATGCGTCGCGGCTTTATCGCCCGCGTAACGCGTCGGTTGCTACAAAATTGATGGTGCTGAAGTCACGGTGTTTTTCCAGATTAGCAAGTATGCTGGAGGACGTGGAGAACAGCGAGCTCGACCTGCGACAAGATCTGAAAAGTAAAATTTAGGGTATTGTAAATTAGGAACAAGAAAAACCTGTTAAACGTTTCTGAGCTGCGCGCTTGGATCTGTTTCGCTCATTTTACACGGAATGCTCCACACGAACAAAAACAGGGTAGGGCCCCCAGCGCCACCAGCCCTACGTCATTCTCCTTTTCTGGAAATTACATCCCTCCACTCTCAGGCTTGACCCGAATTTCTCATGGTTCCTCCTTGCTTCGTCCACTCCACAGTCCCTTAACTAAATCTTATCCCTGCTCGGCTAGCCTCCTAGAGGTCACTAGTTTTCATACAACCGTCGCGATCATATCCAGCATTCTTCATGACTTACACCACACCGGACGCACACTCCGATTTCTCACGGGCGTCCTGTCCCTGCGAGGGGTGACATGGGCCCCTGGGTCTGCTGTTCAAGTAGCTGGTGATGTCATTATTCAATATAGAACATCCTCAAGGGAGCCTAGAAAAACACGCACCCAGCTGACTCAAGATCGGTTCGCCCCAATTCCTTTTTCCAAGGCAATTTGATTTCATTCGCAGGTGCCAACCTTCATACCTAGCTGAACATCATCACTATCCAAACAGCTACACTAGGCATATCTGTTATTTCCGAACATTCCGAAAGATTTATTATTGGCATTTACAATTTTATTGTAGGTGCGAAAATTCCGAAATTGGAGCAGTGGTTCGGCTAATCTGTGCAATACGCAGACGTTTATGTTGGTAGGTTTACAGATATCCCAATAATAATCTGATTGGGCATCAAATCTCCATCTCCCCGGCCTGGTAATGGCATGATGATCTGAAGCCTCGAGGGAAGACTGACGAACCTGAGAGTTTTGTATCACAGTAGTAAGTGATCGAATATGTACGAATTCCGATCGATGCATCAGACTCGGACGTCCTAGTTGCGTTTGGTGAGTTTGGCCTACTAGGTGTTTGACCGATGCTTATGACTGGTTTACAGGTCTGTAGTCTGGATTGTTGGGCAGTCCCTACTCTGTGGCACGAATACTATGAAGTTCTTATGATCAAACGCGGTGATTGTTGATACCCGAAATTTATGTATGTATTTCCATCAACTCTCTAATAGCCCGTCTCCCCGTAGTCTGATGTCCTCCAGACTCCTACAGAACGTTTTTTGAGATCCGCCCTGGAGTATGTTTCATTCAATTGTGTTATCGGCTCACTTATCTTCGGTCATAAATCTAAATCAGCATTCTGAGTCGGATTGGTTCTTGGAGAAGAGCAGTTTTTCATAGGATTCTTCGAGGCTATGGAAAACTGTGGTGAGATTTGTAACGGATCTTCTCAACAAGCCTGCTATCAGTTTCGTTTCGTTCATTGGTATTTGGACCTGATCAGTGAATGATAACTTAATACAAAAATTAGCAATAAAATATACTTGTTGTGCATGACGCATGCTATACCAGAACACACTTAAAAATGTTTTGCATCGGACGCAAACTGTCGCGGTATCACTTGTGAGGGCGAACTCAACATCCGTCACTATCTACAGTGAAACGTCTCGATCACCTGTACCGAGTACAGACTCGAGAAGAGCTTCTCTTATCTATGAGATAACCGAAGGGAATTCTTCGATCAGCTGAATTAACTTGCCAAGTACGTCATCATGGGCGTTGCTTATTCTCCGATTTCACCCCAGTGGCTGATCGTGGACCAATAAACTCTCAAAGTCGCTGTTATTGTAAAATCCGGTCGCACCATGGGTTACGAGGCCAGTGCATAAAGCAACGTTTGTCCGGGAGCGCGTTGAAATTGTGACCGCAATTACAATCAACGTGTTTCGTGTTGTTAAATTTGCAAGCCTGAGCTACTGACTTATAACCCGAAGACCGTCCTGTCATTTTTTCACAGGACACTAAGCACTACAATTTCTTTGAACATTTAAGGGTTCCACATCTTGCCCTTAACAAACTCTAATAAGACTGTATCATTCATTCTTTTCAGATCCGTCGAGTTGTCCACGCCCTGAAAATGCGTTATAAGCTTTTGAATACTGTCGAGGATCATAAGGTAGCTATACATACCGCCTGCTGCGCTGCCCGTATCACCTTGACAGCAATATGTGCACTGATCTCCCTGATGCGCTCGATACGAGGGTACACGAGCTCTAGTGCCCGTTCATCCCACGAAAGAGAACCCGCTAATCCGAGCGCAGCCGCTTGTACCATACTATCTGTCACGCCCTTGGCGCGGCACAGTATCGCACCCAAACCAAGCCCTGAGATCCAGCAGTCCAGCTCAGACACAGGCATAGAACGAGAGAGAGAACCTACCAGGGAAGATGTACATATTATTACCCTGGCCCGGTTCCCTCCTGACGCCACCAATGACCTCGCTTCCAAATGGCGAGCCACTTGCGAAGATTGCGGTGCCGTTGCTGTGTATGAGAGCCTCAGTGAACGTGCACTCTGAGAGTTGGACAGGGTTGGATAGAGGGAAGATGATAGGGCGAGGCGTGTTCTGCGACATCTGACGGATGACTTCCGGGGTAAAGGCACCCTGAAAGAGAGTGAGCGTGACAATGAATACATAATACATGTTTGAATCATACCGCGATTGTCGAGAGACCAAGGAGCACAGTTGGCTTCACATATTTAACAATTTCTGTAAGGTCCTTCATTGGAAGACCTGTGTAATGCCTCCTTGCGAAATCTATGGCATAGCCTGTTAGGTGTGAACCATCCCTCCGAAGAAAAGGGGGCATACACATTTTGTAGTCAGCGACCGCTTCCCTGCCGACGTAAACGAGTCCCTTCGAATCCACGAGCCAGATTTGACTCCTGGCTGCCTCCTCGCTCATCCCAGTAATTGTAAAAAAGCTCATAAGCTGCTTAGCAACTCCTACACTGGCGCTTCCGGCGCCAAATAGCAAGATTCTATGTTCGTTGCGCGGGATGGGAACTAGTCGTGCAGCAGAAAGCAACCCTGCAAGGACAACAGCACCTGTACCTTGGATATCGTCGTTGAACAGTGGGAGTCTATTACGAAAACGCTCAAGGTAGGAAAATGCATGGTCGGTGGAAAAATCCTATTGCCCACAAGATTGTTTGTTTCTACAATGGAAAAGTTGAAGGATGTCAACGGACCTCGAATTGCACCAAAACTTTGGGGTGGACACGTCCCATCTCGGTGATAAACTCATCCATGAAGGCATCATATTCCACATCAAGGGGCCGGCGTTGGCGCAGCCCAAGATACAAGGGGTCGGAAAGATTAGAGGAGTTGTCAGTTCCAAGGTCAAGCGTGATGGGGAGAGTGGACGATGGGCGGATACTGAAATCAATGGTCAGGCGGTTACAAGAATAAGACTGGGGTAGACCCACCCAGCACAGGCGACGTAAAGAGAGAGTTTGCCAACGGCAATGGGCATCCCATTTGCACCAAGGTCACCAAGCCCAAGTATTCGTGAACCTGGTGCATATTATTAAGCACTGATCATCCAACCAAATTGGATGACACGAACCATCCGTGACGACGCTGATCCGAGCCTCGTTCGCAAGGGGCCAGTTGCGCAGAATGTTCCCAATTCTGCCTTTGTCCTTAAGAGAGATGAACTGCAGCACCCATTAAGCCAAAGAGACCCATGAGGTATTTGTATTCATTACCAAACCCTCGGGGTTCCTATAAATTTTTGAGTACTGTAGGCATGCATCACCGACAGTCGGTGTGTAGATTATAGGTATGATCTCCTGAGTATAAACAGTTAATTGAGGTTTTCAAAGATTCTGACATCACTTGTCTCATACTGGCATGTACTCGAGGCATAGCTTGTAAAAGGCTTCGACATCTGCTTGCTTAACTTGCGCAAGGAACGTATATTTCTCAATAGGGGATGTCCTGGAGCGTAATTGGAGAAGGGTACGATCCAACTGAGCCTTCGTACTGAAAACTGGTGGCGCGAGGCCTGGCGCAGCTGGAGTTTTAGCTAAAGGCAGTGAAAATTCGGTATGAGGTATGGATATCGATAGAGTAGACCAAACGCACCCCGAGCTTCTATCTTGAGCTTCTGGATGCCCTCATCCGGTGACCAGTAAGGGGTAAGTACGATAGACATTCTATATGGTTTACAGTAGGAAAGATAGTTGTAATTTTGCGAAAGGGAGACAGAAAGGGAGAGAAGAATCAAAATGAGCAGAAATATGAGAAGGTCCTGAGAAGGAAAGGATCATCGTATGGTATATATAGATGTAAATCAGTGATGAGAACGGTAATCGCTGAGCGTGTCAATGGACAGTGCACGGTGTGAGTGCGAACTTGTTTGGTTGTGACCACAGAAGACACGCATAGCGTTTGAGTGATGCGGTGATGGAGATCGCTCAGAAACACCCACGCGAGAGGCTACACAGCCCTGGTAGTCACCCGTGCTTTTGAGAAACAGTAGTCAAGTACTGCATTAGCTATAAAGAATCACACTTACACAAACCTCCTCCACCATGTGATAATCTGAAAAGTGAGGGAATGTACTTACCTTCGTCAGCCATTCCTGGGTAGTAATGTCTTCAAAAAGAATCGGGCCGAGGATTCTTACCCTCATAGATTACGCATTTATCCTGCATACATTGTCCCATCTTCGTCCATGACAATATCGGCGAGGGTGACTCGACAGGAGCCCAACGCGAACGAAAATAACATAGACAAAACTGAGAAATCTACCAGTATCATGACATCTTCTCATCGTCTGTGTCCGATAGAATTTCCTTGCTTTTACTGGCAAGAAGAATTAGCAAAAAGCTCAGAAAATCTAGATGCCTGACGTACTATTGCTTAAATTTGCGTGGTTCTCCAACAGCGTCCTGGTCTCCATCATTCGGAGGGGGTTTATTATCTAGTTCCTGACTCTCCTCTCCTCTAGTGACAAACTTATCGAGCATCGTTGGTTCACTCTGGCTCTCTGCATCCTCGTGGCACTTCACGTGTGGAATTTTATTCTTCCCGTGTATGCATTTTGGCATTTGATGACATCAGGAAAAAGCACAGTACCTACGCGAGCCTATGTAGCCTATGTAGGCTGGTTAGGCCATAATTTAGGTAAGTTCCGCCTATGTAGGCAGGCCCTGTATACACATCAGGAAATCTCGGGTTTAACTTTTAGTCACTTATATCCAACTTTTCGCATCAAATAGTAGGGAAGCGGAAAAAAGTAAAAGTTACTTTTTTAAGTAGATCGCTCTACTTAAACGTCACTTATTCTCCACTTATTTCTGAGAGCTGCTTAAAAAAGCACCGATAGCATTAAAAAAGTAGACTGAAAGTTGTATCACTGTGCTCGTAAAAAAGTATGAAAAAGATGAAAAAGGAAGCAAGTCGAGTTAGTAGCTTGTGACGGAGAGGATTTAGTATGCGGATGGTGCATTAGTATACTAGACGCGGCTTTCGGAGTGTGAAAATGTTCGAGAATATGCGAAGAAAAAACATGCTGGAGACATTCTGTCAAAGTAGTAGTACTACATCAGTCACTGGAGCACGGAACAAGAAAAAAACACTCACAGAGCATTGCCCGCTAGTGATGTGCCGGCCTGGCTTGGCCTGAAAGCCGCGGCTTTGGCCTGGCTTGAGGCGGCTTTGGCTTTCGAAAATCTCAGGCCAGGCCGCAAGCCAAAGCCAGGCCAAAGCCATGGCTTGGCTTTGGCCCGGCCATGGCTCATAGTGGAGGAAAGTTAGAATATACATTTAGGAACTACTCTAGACTAGTAATCTGACATTTCAGATACAGATATGTCATCCAAGTCATCACTGTCGTCGTCGTCGTCGTCGTCGTCTTCCAAAACTAATGTGTCCCAACCCTCTTCGTCATCTGCAACATCACCCACCTTCTCTGAAACACTGGCTTCAGTGTCAGAGTCATTGAACTCTTCTTCTACGAGTGACGATGGCCCGGCCTCGCGAAACAAAAGATCACGACGTAGTGAGCATTTAAGACTTTGGAGCGCTTCCACTATATCACCTTTGAGCCGGTTCCGACGACGCTCAAAAGGTTTGCCGAAGAATCTGTCAAGGTCGCGAGTCTTGTCCTCTCGTAGGGGACCAGGGTCAGTAATCGGCTGGACATCGACGTCAGCAAGAATTCCATCCTCGTCAACATCTTCTTGATCTGCTACAGTGGCTCGACGGACTCGTTTAGCTGCTTTTGAATGAGTAAAATAGATACATTGATAATAGCCAAAGAACTCACATTTTGGAGTCGTACGGGCATTTTCACGCTCGTCGTCGTCATTTTCAATATCAGTATCAACAACATCTTCAACTCGTGCCCTTTTGCTGTTATCAGGAGCAGGTGTAGATGCTGTCATGGTGGTAGTATCGGGGGAACATTGTGATGAGGGAGCAGCAGAAATTTCGTTTTCGTCAACCAGTTGGCATTCAGCAGCAAGCTTTGCAGCTTCGGCAGCGCGGAAGTCCTTGATTGCTTTCATTTGGGAGGGGAGGGCTGCCCTCTCTGAATGCTGGAGAAGGGCAGCTGTAGGTTTCATTTTGCGCACTGGGCGCGCAACAACACGAAGTTCATCTTCGTTGTCCGTGTGGATTGTACCAATCATCAGAGGCCTCAGACTAGTAGGTAGGGACAGAAAGAAATATCATTTTGGGGGCGCGTGATGCTGTCACGAGCAAGTACTTAGTAAACTAGGATAGAAACATTGAAAATTAGCGTATCATAGGAATAAAGATTCGCAATATGGACAAGCACGAGCCGGTGTCAAAGCATCACTCGCTCATCCTACTTTTGGTTCTGCTCGTACAGCTTCATTCTCCCATCATACCCATCTCGGATCCTTCGGCGTTTGATATGGTGGATCGTTGATGAGGAGGTTGTGAAGCAAGCCAACTCGGATAACAATAAATGCACCTATGACACGAAAGTAAGTTATGATGATGTGGAATTGGCGACTCACTGTTTTCTGATATGGCGTGATATGAAAATGAGTCGCAGGTAGCAACAGAAACATCGGAGAAACAAAAATAGATGTGAGGTTACTAACTACGCTTACTAAGTACCAAAGCCGTGGCCTGGGCCGCCGGCTTTGGCTTTTCAACATCCTGGGCCAGGCCAAAGCCGTGGTCAGGCCATGACCTTTGGCCTGGCTTGGCCTGGCCTATTCTGGCCTGGCCTGGCCTGGCCCACGGCCTGAAGCCAGGCCACGCACATCACTATTGCCCGCTCCCCACTGGCTGCGACACCTTCCTCAACATTCGAGCCTTTAATGCTACCATCCGAGCTTGAATCTTTCATGAACGGGCGTGCCATGATAATCGTGTCCGCTGTATATTTCGGGCCATGCCTCAGAAGGGACAGGTAATAGTCTCGAGTGAATGTTCCCCAGTTCGACTCAGAAAAAGCTAGCTGAGCGCTGCTTTCCTTACCAGTAGCTTTGTTGAGTCTGAGGGGGGTTTTGAGAGCCGTACCCTTCTTTTCCTTATCTGCGACTAACTTAAAAGCACGCTCGAGCTGTTAAAATTAATAATTAGCCTATTTTCAAGTGAGTTTAAGGATAGGACTCAGTACAGCAACAGCGCAAGCAGCAATTACCCCCTCCATCTGCATTAAAGGCAGAGCGCTTGTATTAAGTGCTGGCACATCAACAAAGCCGATGAATGTGTTAAGATGGACTGTTGCGATCATTTGCAACATGAAGATGGAGCGGTAAATCTCGGAGGTCTGGCAGGTATCGGGGTCCGCAAACAGAAAGGCATAATCTTTGAGAAGGGAGGATGCCACATGTACCATGGCCTTCTCCTGGGCGTCCGAGTCTGCATCAACATCGATACTATCATTGTCCACTTGCTCGTCATCGTCATTGTTTTCGTTCACGGATGACAAAAAATTAGAAACGAGTGCGATCGCGGTGGAACCAAAGTTGTTCCGCCACATACATAAGCGCTGGATGGCCTATTGAAGTTTAAATAATGGTCAAGGCGACAAATATAAATATATATAAGGACAACACTCACCACGCCCATGATGGGTCCCTTGAGTTGGACCTTGTGCTCTACTCCTGGGTACATCGTAGTGAATATAGCCTGCAGCGCACACAGCAAATCGGGGGCCTCAATCGTCCAAAAATTGGGCTGGCTACCTGCCCAAAGGTCCTCATCTCCGTCCTCGTCTGACTCAACCATGACCTCTTCAATCTTCCTCTTGCTCTTGCCGATGGTACGTGGCGTAGGTTGCTCTAATGCGTAGCTGACAATTTCCAATTGTTTGCTGTAAGGCAAATCAGCAAAGGGAGTGCCAGCCAGTGGCATGTTTGAATCGTCGCTACCAGCCTGAGGCTCCTTGCCAATTCCAACTGTAAGTACAGATCTTGTCGATCATAAGTAGCTGCGACTTACCTGCACAGCAACTTTCTGACTTCCTGCGATAGCAGCTGCATGCTCTTCGGAGTCAGAGCTGCCCTCGATTTCAACAACTATCTGAAATAGATGGTAAGTGTGTGTTTCATCATCAGCTGCGACTTACCTTCATGCCAGCTTTTCCTTTTCCTTTGCTTACGATAGCAGCCGCATGCTCTTCGGAATCGCTGTCGCTCTGGTCATCGTCTGAGGCATCAGCGTTGTGAGCGAACCCAGAAGTCTTTGTTGGGGTAGGTGGGGGTTCTGTTGCATTGGAAAAAGTAGTTGCTGCAGTTGCGGAGGACAGCTTGGAGGTCGTCGTTGAGCAGGGAACACTTTGAGTTGTCCCACTCAGGACAGAAGGTGCTTGTGAGGATGTCTGCTTCGTGTCTGGTTCAACTCTATGACGCCAGTTATTGACCTGCCCGGCCAGGCTGAATTTCTTGCTTCTGAATTTTGATGTTAGGTTTAGAAAGTAAAGTGTCGACTCGGTGAGTATCAGCATGATGGTGTGAGATAGAAATGTCACTGACGCTAAGTTTCCTTTCTGGTCATGTGCACAATTGTCATCGACAGATCTCGGATCCTTAATCTGCTTTTTCATCCTCGCAGCACTAACAGCCTCACGCAACAGCATATTCTTTACTTTCTTCCCCTTCCCCTTTGACTTTGGCTCAGCCTCATCCCCTGCTATGTCTGTATCGTCATTAGTGGTACCTATTGAGGTAAGTGGCCTTTAGACTCACTATTGGTCTCATCTCCTGATGCCACGCAACTGTCTGAAGGGATATCATTAGTAGGCTTCTTTTTGACTGCCTTTGCACGAGGCTTTGGCTTTACGGGCACCACGTTCGATGCCGCTGCTGCCTGCTCTATTTCCATTGAGGCCTCTATTGCTCCAACACGATCAATGCCGTGTTGGGCGGCTTTTTCCTGAGCTTCCTGCGCTTCTTTGCTCCGCTGATTGTCTTCTGCAATTTCTTTAGCAGTACGCCTTTTCTTTGTAGCCGTTTTCAGAATATCGCCAGGGTGCTTTCCTTTATTCGAATCACGAGTAGAAACCATAGCAGGCAGAATAGAAGCAGTGGCAGACGGCTCAGAGGCAGGGAAGGAAAATAGACCGAAGACGAGAGTTCAACACTTTGGTAAGTGCCCTAAACACGGTTTTCTAAACTCAGACAAACAGCGCTGTAACACTTACTAGCAATACACATAATTCAGGTCGCTCTGCTGTCCATTCAAGTTCACCATGTCGCATGTCAAACCAGGGTTTAATGCCCTTCGCCTTCCTTGCACCAAACCAGGATGCAACCGCTGGTTCAAGAATAAGTCCGGTCTTACACAACATACAAACGCCGTCCATTCAGTCCTTACTAGCACTGCACCCTCGTGTCTCCCTCAGTCCAATCGATCCCCCTCACCTCTTTTCGATGCAGATATCAATACTGAAGGATATGATGGCGCCAACTCGAATAAAGAGTATCGTGCTGCCACTCCTGGTCCTGTACAACCACCTGCAGAGTTCTTTGGTGCCGGTGACCGCTTGTATCGAAACTATCACCCTAACTTAACTGGTAATTTTCCTTTGCTTTTCACATTTTCTCTATCTGACACACCATCATTTTCAAAAGCTCGGCCATGCGATTCAGAAGGGAACTTCCTTCCTCCGGGAACTCCACCTCCATCATTGTCGGACAAAGCACCTGATGACTGGACTCCCTACTCTGACCGGTTAGAGTTTGAGCTCGCGGACTATATCTTTACCAAGAATCAGACACCCGCGGCGCAGATCGACCACCTTCTTGATATCTGGGCAGCTTCGCTAATACGAGGTGGTGCTAATACCAATGTGCTATTCACAGACCACCGTGATGTCTACAAGACCATCGACAGTACTCCTTTGGGTGACGTGCAATGGCAGTCGTGCTCGGTCAAATACACCGGGGAGCATGCAGTTGACGACACTGCACCCTGGATGGAGGACAGCTACAATGTTTGGTTCTGTGATCCTCGCGATGTTGTTCGGAATATGCTTGCCAACCCCGATTATGCCCTGGAGATGGATCTGCAACCTTACCGTGAGTTCGCGACTGAAACAGATGAGCGCCAATGGCAAGACTTTATGTCTGGTGACTGGGCTTGGAATCAAGCAGTAAGCTGTCCCCTCCCTTTTCACGCTAGTTGATCTAATTAAGAACTAAACAGGACAAAATTTCTGATGATCCGGACACCCACGGCTCAGCGTTTGTACCTGTGATTCTTGGCAGCGATAAAACCACGGTATCAGTTGCAACTGGGCAGAACGACTATTACCCACTGTACGCATCAATCGGAAATGTTCGCAACAATGTGCGCCGTGCTCACCGTAATGCGGTTGCTGTAATTGGATTTCTAGCCATGCCAAAGAGTGAGTTTCTCTCCATTCGCACATCTTCACTCGCCTCACAACCCATAAAGCAACTAAACAACACGCTAAGACTGCAAATTTCCGCAATTTCCGTCGCCAACTATTTCATTCATCACTTTCATACATACTGAAGAACTTGAAGCCCGCGATGACAAAGCCTGAAATTGCACGCTTTGGCGACGGTCATTATCGTCGTGTTATCTATGGACTTGGCCCGTATATTGCCGACTATGAAGAACAAGTGTTGCTCGCATGTATAGTCAAAAATTGGTGTGCTAAGTAAGTAGTATTTGTCACTTTCTTGTTGTGTTGATTCTAAATCTATGATAGATGTCTTTCGTATCGCAAGAGTCTTGACGATGACAGTCTCCAATGCTCAAGAACACATACCGAGGCACTAATCGAAGAGTGTGACCATTTGGCGCTTTGGGATGAGTTCGGAATTGCCGCCCAACTTGTGGTAAGTCTGGGAGTGTCGTGTTTACTACTTGACAGTTGGAATTGATTTATCTGTATAGCCATTTACCAATGACTTTCCTCGCGCTGATATACATGAACTCATCGCGCCAGATCTCCTCCATCAAATAATAAAGGGGGCCTTCAAGGACCACCTGGTGGTCTGGGTTGAAAAATATCTCGTACAGATGCATGGACAAACACAGGCCAATGTTATTCTGGATGACATTGATAGAAGGTGCGTCACATATCCTATTAGCCGTGAATTCGAGATTTAGTAGTACCCCAAATAGGATTGCGGCAGTTCCTGCATTTTCGGGACTGTGCAGATTTCCTCAAGGACGCAACTTTCAACAGTGGACTGGAGACGATTCAAAAGCACTTATGAAGGTATTTTAACTTTTATCTACTTTTATTCGAGACTTTTGACTAACAGCATTTAGGTGTATTTACCAGTGATCGAAGGCTATGTCCCAGTCGAAATTGTCCACACATTTCGTGCTTTCCTCGAATTTTGTTATCTTGTCCGTCGTAATATCATCACGGAGAAGATGCTTGCAGAAATTGATGACGCACTTGCTCGATTCCATCAGTATCGCGAAATCTTCAAGTCCTCTGGGACGATTCTGACATTCTCACTCCCCCGACAACATTCAATGAAACATTACCACGCTCTCATTCGACTTTTTGGTGCGCCGAACGGACTTTGTTCCTCTATCACAGAATCCAAGCACATCAAGGCCGTGAAGGAACCGTGGAGACGATCAAGTCGCTACAAAGCACTAGGCCAGATGCTCGTGACCAACCAACGCCTGGACAAGTTGACTGCATCACGTCAAGATTTTTGGGCTCGCGGGATGCTTAACGGCACCTGTCTATCTTCTGTCATCGCGGCGTTGAATGCACAAACCCCCACTGAGGAGCATCGCGATATGGACCAACAAGAGCCACCTGCCATCTTGCCTGCTAGACTGGGAGAAGATGATGGGGGCGCAGACTTTGAGGTTGTTGATGACCCCATGTCAGTCCTCGCGCATGTAGAACTCGCCAAGACACCACGTAAGTACAGCTGCATTCATCAGTTTTCATTTCACATACTGAGAATGAGTATTAGAAGGGACGAAGCGCGCACAATGTATTCCAGAGCTTAGCACCGAGCTTCACCTTCCCAACCTGGCCGAGCTTGTTCGATGGTTCCTTTTCGAGCAGTCCAATCCCAATGATGCTCGCGACCCTACCGAAGTCACTCTCTTAGAGTCCCCATACTATCAGGGTCGAATTTCAGTATTTAACTCTGCGTCATCGACATTTCACGCACCCAGTGACCTTAGTGGTATTGGGGGCATGAAGCGCGAATATATCCGCGCATGTCCCTCATGGAGAAATGAATGTGCACGCAATGATTGTGTTTTTGTGATTACCGACTCAGACACTCATGGGATGGGAGGCATGGATGTAGCCCGTGTTATGGCATTCTTCTCCCTTCGACAACACAGCAAACAGATTCCATGTGCAGCAGTCCACTGGTTCGATCGACTTGGTGATGCACCTGATCCTGACACTGGCATGTGGATGGTTAAGCCAGCTTTTTCTGCAAATCGCACCCCACACTTCGCGGTGATACATGTTGACACTATTTTTCGCGCAGCTCATTTAATTCCAGTCTATGGTACAGCGCCGCTCTCACCATTGATCAAATTCCATCACGTCCTTGACATCTTCAAACTGTTCTATGTGAACAAATTTGCTGATCATCACGCGTTCGAAATAGCTTATTAGTGATGCCAGTCACCGGTACATACCCATAATCATGAACGAAGCACGACACCTTGAAGTTTGGCATTGATCTTCACGCCAGACACCCCCACATACCCATAATCATGAACGGAGCGCGACACCTCGAAGTTTGGCGTTGATCTTCACGCCAGATGCCCCCACATACCCATAATCATGAATGGAGCGCTGACGAGCGCGACACCTCGAAGTTTGGCGTTGATCTTCATGCCAGACATCCCCACATACCCATAATCATGAACGGAGCGCTGACGAGCGCGACACCTCGAAGTTTGGCGTTGATCTTCACGCCAGACACCCCCACATACCCATAATCATGAACGGAGCGCGACACCTCGAAGTTTGGCGTTGATCTTCACGCCAGACACCCCCACATACCCATAATCATGAATGGAGCGCTGACGAGCGCGACACCTTGAAGTTTGGCGTTGATCTTCACGCCAGACACCCCCACATACCCATAATCATGAACGGAGCGCGACACCTCGAAGTTTGGCGTTGATCTTCACGCCAGACACCCCCACATACCCATAATCATGAACGGAGCGCGACACCTCGAAGTTTGGCGTTGATCTTCACGCCAGACACCCCCACATACCCATAATCATGAACGGAGCGCTGACGAGCACAACACCTCGAAGTTTGGCGTCATGACTTGTATTTTTGTGCTACTACTACTACTACTTACTACTAGTAGCTGGGGCGCCCTAATTTGCACTTTTTCTCTTATTATACTTTTTTCAGTCTTCCAACTTAATTCATGTTGGCCACTTTCCGCGTGCAGAAAATAAGTGAAAAAAGTGAATTTTAAGTACTAAAAGGCTGAAAAGGTAAACTCGAGATTTCCTGATGCAGTAGGTTCCTCGTAGGCACCGTAGGCTTAGGTGTAGGCTTAGGTTAGTACTGTATACATCAGCAAAAACAAAGCTGGCTAGATAATTCAGATAGGCCATCATCAGATGACTAATTGAATTTCACATATTATATATGTACAATTGGTAGGAATTGAACCCACCACCTTGAACAATTATAACTGCAGCATCATTACAACTAGGCTACAAGACTACATGTACATTTCTGCAATAATAGCAACATATACCAATGCAATATGACAATACTGTGAAAATTCCATCAAGTCAATTATCACACGGTTCAGGATTACTGTAGCAGTATGTAGCAGAGGTTGCGGCTATATAGCCGCTAGCGCTTTCCAATGGGAACCTTCGGACGAGTGGCCTGCAAAACATCCGTTAACGGGGACAGCAAGAACAAATTTCGAACGACACACCCAGGCCATGACCTTTTCACTGGCACATCTGTGGCCTCTGTCATACTACTTTCACCAATCTCCAGGGACTGCGAGCGAAGACTAGTACATGACGGGTCAGACACGTGAGTTTTTTTTATTTGTGTCAGATAGTTCTTACTAGTGATGTTCCGGCCCGGCTTGGCCCAAAAGCCGCGGCTTTGGCCTGGCTTTAGACGGCTCTGGCCTGCAAAAAATCCAAGCCGGGCCAAAGCCGCAAATGACGGCTGGCTTTGGCCCGGCTCTGGCCTGAGCCGCGGCTCGAGTAGGGAATTTGCGATTCTGACAAAGTGAGCATGAGCAGGTCGTTGTGAAACCAGGATTCAACCACATGACTCACCTGCAGATAAATTGCGGCAGTCGAGAGCGGCGGTGGAATTTCGGCGGTTTCTTCGTGACATGCGTTACCCGAAGAGATTGACGGAGGTGGAGGGAGATGCATGAGTAGAAAGGGAACACTGGATCCAAGTGCACGGGTGAGAGTTGCGGTGGTGAATTTTGACTCTAAAGGAGGAGCGCTACTGTACCGAGTTCAGACATGTGTATGTTAGATTCGATACGCCTTCCATCTTGCGAACGTAGTTTGGAGGCCAAATCACGCACACACCTTGCAGGGACCATGTTCTCCAAAACCAAGACCATTTTCGGAGAGCTGTGTCCTCCAGTAGCTCGGGCTTGCAGGACGGGGGACGCGCTTGTAAGGATTAAAGTTAGCAGGGACATTCCGAGCCCACCTCATGCCGGTTGCCCAGTAAACACCGGGACCTGCACCATTCATGTTGGAGGTAGGTTTATACTGCCAAAAGCCAGCTTTCCAATGTGGGTGAGTGTTGGCGCCAGGCGGCATGGATGGTGGACCAGGAAAGTTTGGAGGAAGAGCAACACCAGCTGGTGGGGGCCAGGTGCCTTGCCAACCCTGTGGCATAGAATGTTGCTGCATGAGTTGTGGATTGGGGTGCCAGTGTCTTCCTGATTGAGCCATGATGGGCCTTTAATAGATATGATAGTAAGTTCAGATTTTAGTTACAAGGACGAATGAGCGTACTAGATCTATACACACACTCGTGACGGACACTTGAATCAGAAAGCCAGAAGGGTATTGCAAAGAGGGAGTGATCTTGGCTGGTTTCTACAGCTTGATGTCAATAGTTGGTATAGTTAAGAGACGTGAAGCACGATGGAAGTGATTAAAAAGCTAAAACAAGACGAGATAGAAACCAGATTCTCAGTTGAGCTTGGGCGCCGCAAGGCTCAGGCACAGTTTCAAAAGCCGCGGCCCGAGCCGGCGGCTTCGGCTTTTCATAATGTCAAGCCAGGCCAAAGCCGTCACCAGGCCGTGAGTTTGGCCCGGCTTGGCTTGGCCTATTCAGGCCCGGCTTGGCCTGGCCCACGGCCTGAAGCCGGGCCGTGCACATCACTAGTTCTTACTGCTTATTCGAGTTTGAACGCTCCATCATGCATCACTGGTGAACAGCGTCGAGAGGTGGAATTTGTTGGCAAGGCGCGGTCATTTACATTTGTTGAATTGTTTATTGTTCATTGGTGTCTACAAGGCCTACGTGACCTAAGAGTTGCCTACATAGGATGGCACTGTCTACATAGGCCTATGTAGGCAACACCTGCCTACAGGAAATGTGCATTTTCCTGATGGACTTCTCATGGGGAGAGACGAGGTATGTATTCCGTTGTGTGCGGGTAGTTGTTGTAGTGCTAATGGATATGTTACAGGAAAGTGGCAGGGGAGGCAAAGAGAGAAGGGCATGGTGCAGGCTCTGGCACTTTCGACGGTTCCTTGGTCCCTCTTCGCCGCTGGGAAGATTGGGAGCGCTCGCGCTTATGCAAACTCAAGCGTGAAGAACGGCGACGGCATGACTTTGATCGCATGCATCCAGCAGGATACATTTCTTCCCAAAACGACCTGCTCAGCGTGCGCAACGACACCCGCAGTCAATACGGCGACAGATCAGACACGCATTCCGTCGTATCATCCGAGGACGATCATTACGGTCCGCAGATTGGCGGATACAATGAGAACAATACTCAGTTCCCCGCTCCGCCTGTTGGTCTGTTTGCGTCTGGGAACAAGGTGGTTGGCGGTGCGGAGCTGGAGGCGATGTCGGAGAGTGGGTTTGATGATGATGAGAGCCCCAGGCAACGGACACCTACGAGCGCGATGTACGCTGCACGGTATCAGCTTAGCGATAACCCATCACAGCAGCATCTCATGTCCTACGCGTCATCCGACTCAGGCTCACGAACGCCCCCCGTACAATATCAGCCGTATGGCACACAAATAGAGGACCGGAGTCGCACCGGTGATGTTAAGAGAGCCCCTTCAGTGACAAATTCCGTATTATACGGGCCACCCGACCTACATAATATCCCGTATGAGACGGGCCAGCGGATTATGGGCCCATGTTGTGTATATTCTCGATGATGACGGATGGGCCGGGACACATATTATTTCCGATGGAGACGGGTGGGCCCATGTATGCCAATGATATATATATCCTTGATGTTGACGGATGGGCCGGGGGAATATGATCATTCATGGAGATGGGTGGGCCCATCAGGGTAATATGTAGAGTAGGATATTATAGACAGCTGGGCTGAAGAGAGATGTAAGGCAAATATTGTTATATAGACGGGTGGGCCGAAGGGGGTGTATTACATATATGGGTGGGCCGAGGTAGGGGAATATTACATAGATGGGTGGGCTGACGCGGGGTGTATTACATATACAGGTGGGCTGACATAAAAAGTATTACATATACGGGTGGGCCGACGAAAGGGATATCAAATAGACGGGTGGGCCGAGGGTGTGATAAAATATTTATTACATAGACAGGTGGGCCAAGGTGGGGTATAATTATATAGACGGGTGGGCCGACGTAGTATGTATTATATAGACGGGTGGGCCGACGTAGTATGTATTATATAGACGGGTGGGCCGACGTAGTATGTATTATATAGATGGGTGGGCCAACATAGGATGTATTACATAGACGGGTGGGCCGACGTGGGGGATAATACATAGATGGGTGGGCTGACGTGGGGGAATTGTACATAGATGGGTACATATATGGGTGAGCCTGGATACGTATAAATGTCAACTTTTCAGTGCAAAACCCCAAACCGAGATTTACCAACCCCCGAAACCCGAAATTGTGGACTGCCGGGTGTCGGGTTTCGGGGTTCGGGGGTCCCGGAACTCGGAACTCGGTATGTGAGACAAAAATATATTTCATACACGGGTAAGTCAATGTGTCCGTCAATCAACTCGATTGTAAAGTATATTTTATTGATCTCCCCAAATTTCCCAAGTTCCGAGTTCCGAGTTCCGGGACCCCCGAACCCCGAAACCCGAAACCCGGCAGTCCACAATTTCGAGGTTCGGGAGTTGGTAAAATGTGTATGGACAGATGAAAGGTTGATCTAAACATTTTTGAAAGATGTCCCATATGAAATGTTAAGTCCCGAATTTTGAACTCCGGGTTTCGGGACTCCGGGTGTCGGGACTTCGGGCTTCGGGACTCGGGACTCCAGAAAGCCGGAAATCAAAACTTGGGACTTGACATTTCATATGGGACATCTTTCAAAAATGTTTAAATCAACCTTTCATCTATCCATACAAATTTTACCAACTCCCGAACCTCGAAATTGTGGACTGCCGGGTTTCGGGTTTCGGGGTTCGGGGGTCCCGGAACTCGGAACTCGGAACTTGGGAAATTTGGGGAGATCAATAAAATATACTTTACAATCGAGTTGATTGACTGACACATTGACTTACCCGTGTATGAAATATATGTTTGTCTCACATACCGAGTTCCGAGTTCCGGGACCCCCGAACCCCGAAACCCGACACCCGGCAGTCCACAATTTCGGGGTTCGGGAGTTGGGTCCCGGAACTAGGAACTCGGTATGTGAGACAAGCAAAATATATTTCAAACACGGGTAAGTCAATGTGTCCGTCAATCAACTCGATTGTAAATTATATTTTATTGATCTCCCCAAATTTCCCAAGTTCCGAGTTCCGAGTTCCGGGACCCCCGAACCCCGAAACCTGAAACCCGGCAGTCCACAATTTCGGGGTTCGGGAGTTGGGTCCCGGAACTAGGAACTCGGTATGTGAGACAAGCAAAATATATTTCAAACACGGGTAAGTCAATGTGTCCGTCAATCACCCGAACCCCGAAATTGTGGACTGCCGGGTTTCGGGTTTCGGGGTTCGGGGGTCCCGGAACTCGAAACTCGGAACTTGGGAAATTTGGGGAGATCAATAAAATATAATTTACAATCGAGTTGATTGACGGACACATTGACTTACCCGTGTTTGAAATATATTTTGCTTGTCTCACATACCGAGTTCCTAGTTCCGGGACCCAACTCCCGAAC